AGGCGCTCGAGCGCCTCGACGGCCTCGAGGCCGCGCGCGTCCGCGGGCGCCGGCACCGCGAGGCGCCGCAGCCCCGGCGGCAGCGGGCCGACCCAGGCCCGCCCGAGGACCTCGAGGTCCTCGAGCTTCGACATGTCCAGCAACGGCGCGAGGTGGAGCGCGCCGCCGGCCGTCGCGTCCACCCGCAGCGCCTCCAGCCCGGGCAGCGCCGCGTCCAAACCCCGGAGCACGTCGCAGGGCGCGGCGCCGCGCGCGACGATCCGGAGCCGCGTCGCGCCGCTCGCGCGGAGGCGCCGCTCCCACAGCACGAGCGTGAGCTCCTCGTCGGCGAGGAGGAAGTTGTCGACGTCGCGGCCCGGCGACGCGTCGAAGCTCCGCCAGCCGTCGGTCTCGGGCGCCACGTCGCGCTCGGGGAAGGGCCCCCGCCGCTTCGCGACGCGTTGCAGCACCTCGGCCGCCTCGGCCTCGCCCATGTCGAGCGACGCGTTCTCGCTCTCGAGGAAGCCGCGCTCGAGCGCGACGTGGTGCAGCGCGCCGCCGACGTTCGCGCCGACGAGCCGCCGCGCGGCCGCGAAGTCGCCGAGCTGCTCCGCCGCGCGCGCGCGCAGCAGGGACAGGGCCACGAGGGGCGCGCGGTCCGGCCCCGCGACGCCCGCGCAGAGGCGGGACCAGAGCGCGTGCGCGCCCGCCGTGACCTCGGCCGCGGCGGCCGCGTCGCCGCGCCGCAGCGCGTCCGCGCCGGCCGTCAGCGCGAGGCGCGCGGCCGCCGCGAAGAAGGCGCCCGTCGGGTCCCAGGCCTCGGCCGTCGCCGCGGCGCGGAAGCAGGGCGCCTCCCTGAGGATTTTCGCCGCGCCGCCGGGGCTGCCGACGAAGCCCATGGCCGCGCGCGCGGACTCCACGATGGCCCACGCGCCGGCCATGAGCTCGCTGCCGACGCCCGCGCGCCAGGCCGCGGGCTGCTCCTCGTCGTCGTCCACCGCCGCCTCGCGGCCGCTCAGGACCGCGAGCGCGAGGCGCCGTTGGGGCGCCGCGCCGTCGCGGCCGTCGAGCAGGTCGAAGGCCGCGAGCGCGAGCGCGGCGGTCCGGTCCGTCTCGCTCGCGAGGGCCGCGACGCCCGCGGCGTAAACGTCGGCGTCGAGGCCGTGGGTGCCAAAGTCGCCCGCGACGAGCGCCTTGGCGACGGCGGCCGCGGTCCCGCCGGCGAGCGCTTTTTCGACGTCGAGGCGCGCGTAGGGCGATGGTTTCCCAAACGCCTCCTCAAAGGCCGCGGCCTTGGCGTCGACGCGCGGCGGCGCCGGCGGCGGGGCGGCGCGTGGCGCGGGGCCCTCGTTCCGCTCGCGGACGGCGTCGGCGAGCGCGCGGACGCGGAAGAGCTCGAGGGGCCGCCCCGCGGACACGTAGACGTCCTGGAAGCCGCGGATCGTCGCGCTCGACGGGTCGAGGCCGCGCCAGGACGCCGCCGTCGCCGCGTGCGCGCGCGCGCGCGCCGCGCCGTCGGCGTCCCACCCCGCGGGCACGCAGCCGCCGCGCTCGGCGTCCGCGAGGTAGCGGTCGAGGCCCGCGGCGTCGTCCGGCGCCCGGCCGTCGTCGAGGGCGCCCACGCGGTAGGCGTCGACGACGCGCGCGAGGGCGCCGTCGCCGTCGAGGCCCTCGAAGAAGTCGCGCGGCCCCAGCGCGTCGTCGCCCGAGCCCTCGCCGCGCAGCGCGAGCGAGAACGTCGCGAGGCGCTGCTTCGACATGGCCTCGCGGAAGAGGGCCTCGGCCTCGTCGCCGCCGCCGGCGTCGACGACGGCGCCCAGGTCCGCCATCGCGCCCTCGTAGTCGCCGAGCTCGAGGCGCGCGCGGCCGCGGCGGAACCGCGCCTTCGTGTTCGCGCCGTCGAGCTCGAGCGCGCGCGACGCCGCGCTCTCCGCGAGCGCGAAGTCGCCGAGCCGCAGGCGGCACTCGCTGGCGTTGGCGTAGGTCTTCGACGCCTCGCCGGCGGCCGACGCGCCGCAGGCCTCAAAGTCCGCGGCCGCGAGGTCGTAGTTCTCGATGGCCTCGGCGTAGGCCTTCTTCGCGAAGCGCGCGTTGCCCGCCTTCTTGTGGGCGAGGCCCGCGTCCATCATCGTCGTCGTGGCCCAAGGCGACGCGGCGTCTCACAGCGGCAGCGCTGCTTTGAACGACTCAACCGGTGAGCGCTCAAGCCGTCTTTTGCACCGCGCGAACCTGCACTCATCAACATTAAAACAACTCAACATGATAACGCCGAAGCTTATGGGGCGGTCCTCCGGGGTGCGCGGAGGTGGTTTCGCGCAGCGGCCGGTGGTGGGGCCCGCCGCGTCGGCTCCGGTGGGCGCCCGGGGCGGAGCACCCCGCTGCGCGCGTCGATTGGGCAGCGGGGCGCCGAGCGCGAGGACTTGCAGGGCTTGGCCATCGGCGCGACGTCGCCCATGGGCCCGGGGGGCTGCCGCGCGCGCTCGCTTCGTTCGGATGCCTTCGACGTGAGTCTCGGAGGGAGCTGGTGGGGTCGGCGCCCTCGGTGGCTTCGGTGTGCGGGCTTCGATGTGCCCGTGTCCATTCGTTTCTCTGCATTCTGCAGCGTCTCCTCGTAGCGTGGCGCTCTGTGCGGTTCCGTCGGCGTCGGCGTCTTTGCTCTCTTCGGTCCCGCTGACTACGGGTGTCCTCTTCGGCGGTGCCCTCGGCTAGCCACTTGTGGTCCTGAGGTTGAATCGGCCTAGTCGAGCCGGACGTCCTGCCCGTCGGGTGCGGGTGCCTTCGTTCTCAACCTCCCCCGGTCCACGGAGAGTCCGTTGAGTGTCGTCTGAATGAGGCGACTCAGGATGCTACTGCCTTGCGCCAATCCCGGCGTGCTCTCGGCGTGGCGGTCGGTGCCAGGCTTGGCGCGAGTGTACCGCCGCCACACCTCCGATCCGAGTGCACGCGCGATCTTTGGGTCGGAAGGAAGGGGCCGGTGTGGGAACGCCAACCCCCCGGCTCGAAGGTGAGTGGCCTCGGTCGTCGGCGCCATGTCCTTCCGCGACTTCGTGTCCACGCAGCGGCCCGAGGCGCTCGAGACCGAGGCGGTCGACGCCCCGCAGAAGCCCGCCGCGCCGCCGGCCGCCTCGACGGCGCTGGCGAAGCTGCCCGCGGCGCGGAAGACGTCGAGCTTCCACAGCTTCGCGGCGCAGCGGTCGCAGCGAGCCGCCCCGGCGTCGACGTGGATGCAGAGCGCCTGGGCCGACGAGCCCGAGCTCGACGAGGAGACGCGCAAGCTCAAGCACCGCCAGCTCGTCATCGTGCCGGAGCCGCCGCCGCCGCCGCGCCGCGTCTTCGCGCGCGTGGCCGCGGAGGCCGCGGGCCTCTACGCGACCGTCGACGCCGAGGTCGCCGTCGCCGCGCTGCCCGAGGGCGCGCCCGTCGGGCGCGTCGAGGGCGGGCAACCGTCGGGCGGGCGGTACCTGATCGAGACGCCCTTCGCAGGGCAGCAAAAGAGAGCGAAATTCCCAACTTCAAAGGCTCATATCTCGGCCGATTTCCACTCGTTTCGGCTGATTTTTGGACGAGCGATCATCTCTCGGAACGGTCTCGAAGCATGGATGCTTTTTCTGGAACGCGCGCGCGCGGAACACTCACGTTGAAGCGACGTTGAATCACCCTTTTGCTGCCCAGGCCGTTCGCGTGCTGGGTCGACTGCGACGTCGTCGCCCACTGCGACGTCGACGAGCCGTCGGTGGCGGACTGGGCGCGGACGCGGCTCCTGGAGCTGGCCCTCTACGAGAAACGCTTCCGGCCCGAGGGCCGCGACGCGCCGGACGCCGCGTCGCGCCTCGCGGCCGCGCTCCGGAGGGACCCGGCGCTGCTGGAGGCGCTCGGCCGCGGCGCGCCGGCGGCGGAGACGGCGTTGCGCCTCGAGCACGGCGCCGGCCGGCCGGACCTGGCGCCGGCCTGGCAGAAGGGGTTCGTGGACGTGAGCCCCGCGCGCGTTTTGGTCTTCGGCGACGGCTCCGTGCTCGATGTGGCCGCGAACGCGCGCGACGCGAGCAGGCCGGAGATTTTACTCGAGGGGTCCGTGCTCGACTACCTCACGGGCGCCGCCGCGGCGGTCTTCCGCGAGGAGGGCGCCCAGCCCATCGAGTTCCTCGGCGACGGCCGCACGCGGCACCACCCGGAGGCCGTCAAGCACGCGCTCGCCGAGGCCGCGCGCGAGGCGCCGCCGGAGCCCACGGACGCGGCCAAGGCCGAGGAGGGGCGCATCGCCGAGGCGGGGATCGAAGAGGCGGAGGAGTGATAAGCGGCGCCCGCAAGCCTCTGAGGCGTCCTCTGTGAAGTCCTCCTTGAACATCGTCTGTCACACGGTGTCGTCGCCCGCCATGTCAGCATTGAAGACATCTGCGGCTCGGCCAGCGCGGCCCGAAGCTTTGACGCGCTCGAGATTGGAGCCAGACGTCAGAACAGCTGCGCCCGACGCACCGTACACCCCATCAATCGACTCCAAAACACGCCCAAACGATGCTAGTGGGACCCACCCTCGACATGCTCGAGCATTCTTTGATCGAAACGCCCGCCGCGGCGACTTCGAACAAGCACCAGCTCCCCTGGGGCCTCTGCCTCGCGCCGTCGTCCGTGCTGCTGACCAAGGCCCTCATCTCGCACGCCGACCTCTCGTACCTCTTCTCCGGGATCTGCGTCATCGCCGCGGCGAGCATCGCCGCCGTCGGCCTGGCCGCGCCCGCGGACGCCGCCGACGACGAGACGCTCGGCATGGGCCTCGTCGACGAGGACGTCTCCGACGGCGGCGAGACCTACCAGGAGGCCCTCGACGACTACGAGAACACCATCGCCTACGTGACAAGCATCGCCGAGGAGGAGCGCCGCCGCCGCGTCTCGCTCGGCGACGTCCTCGTCTCCCCGACGTGCCAGCGCGTCAAGCGGGAGCTGCCCAAGGACCTCGTCTCCCTCGAGGCCGCGCGCGGCGACGGCCACAGCCTCTACCTCAACGGCACGTTCAAGATGCCCCGGAAGCGGGGCCCCGGCCTCCTCGCCCGCGCGGAGAACGCGCTCCTCGTCGCCGTCGGCGCCGCGGCGTTCTCCGCGGTCGCGACGCACCCGGGCTGGGCCGACGCCTGCGCCTTCCTCGCGGCCCGCGCGCCGTCGCCGGCCCTCTACGCCCTCATCTGCCTCTTCCCCTTGGTCTACGTCGTCGGCTACCACGCCGGCGGCTCGCAGCAGGGCGACATCTACGCGGCTCTGGCGCACGACCAGAAGGTCGAGGAGTGGGAGAAGCTCTCGACGGTCAAGTACGAGCAGCCGGGCATCCTCAAATCGAACCTCAAGCCCGCGCTCCGCCGCTCGAACAGCCGCTCGGGCCTCGCGCGGTCCAACTCGGCGGGCAAGATGCGCCGCTCGAACTCGCGCGGCGAGCTCCGCCGCGTGAACTCGCGCGGCGAGCTCCGCCGCCGCGTCGCCGCGTAGACCGCCGCCGGGCGTCCCTCTCCCTCGTCGCGCACGCGGCAACCAGAAACCCCGGGCGAACAGAAAAAGGTAGTAAGTTCTTCGGTGGAAGTGCTAAGTCCCCCGCCCCCCTTTCCGCCCCCTTCTCCGCCGCTGCTTCTTCCGCTTCGGCGGCTCGACCTCGCCGTCCTCGAAGCGCCCGCGAACGGCCGCCGCGGCCGCGCGCGCGGAGCGGACGCACGCCTCGAACGACGACGCGCCGGCGGCCCAGTCGCCGCAGAGGAACAGGCCGCCGCCGAGGTCGTGGGAGAGCGCCCCGTCGCACTCGCACACCTGGCCCGTCCGCCAGTTGAGCAACTTGACGTGATCCGGCGCCGGACACGGCCCCGCGAGAGCCTCGGCCGCGAGCCTGAGCGCCCTTTGGACGGCCTCGCGGCCGCCGCCCGCCACGCCTTTCCCCGACGACCGCCCGCCGCCGGCCTGGGCGCCGCCGCCGCGGCCGCCGCCCGCGTTCGTGCGAGCGAACCGCCCCCAGAACTCGGGCGTCGAGTGGATCGTGACGGCGACGCCCGCCGCGTTTTTCTGGCGCCGCGCGCGGGCGACGTCGCGCGACGATCGGCCGTGGAGCGCGTCGGCGAAGGCCGCCGCCGCCGTGGAATCGGCCCACCAGAGCGACAGGGCGAAGCAGGAGCGCCATTTGAGAGGAAAATCGAGTCTGGGGACGCCGCGGACGCGTAAAGCGTCCGAGGGCGGCATGGCTAAAACAACAGCATCAAAAACCTCGGCGGCGGCGCCGCCCCGCGGCGTCGCGAGCCAGCCGCCGGCCCGCGGCGCGAGCTCGCCGAGGCGCGTCGAGAAGCGGCAGGCGACGCCGCCGAGGAGGCGCTTCACGACGGAGGCCGCGCCGAGCGCCGGCGGCTCGAAGACGCCGCCTTCGCCCGCGGCGCCGGCGTCCTTCAACAACGATACGGCCTCGGGCGACGCCGCGTGGAGCAGCTGCGCGCCGACGTTCGCGCGGATCTCGTCGCCGCCGTCGGGCGCCCAGCGCGTCGTCGACATGCGCCCGCCGCAGCCGCGCGCGCCCTCCCAGACCTCGACGTCGGCGAACTCGCGGCAGCCGCGCGACACGAGCGCGCCCGTCGCGCCCGCGCCGCAGACGAGCACGCGGCGGCGGCGGCGCGGCGCGGGCGGCGGCGACGGGACCGCGAGCGCGCGCGCGAGCGCCGCGACGGCCGCTCGCGCGCTCGCCGCGCAGCCGCCGAGCGTCGAGCCGCCCGCGAAATAGTCGCCGACGACGCAGAAGCCCGGGCACAGCTCGAGGAACTGCCTGTCCAACCCACACACGCAGCGCGAGAACTTCCAGTAGTTCAGTTTTGACGCGACCGGCGCTTCGCCGCCGAGCGATGTCGCCGCCGCTTCAGTCATCGCCTTGAGGACCTGCTCCTTCACCGCGAGGTCCTTCGGCGTCGGCCGGTGCGTCGCCCGCAGGCCGGTGATCGACGCGCCGTAGGCCGTCGTCGACACGGCGACGACGACGGCGTCGTTTTCCTGGAGCACGAGCCGCTCGACGGCGCCCGCGCCACGCAGCGTCCGCGCGCCGCCGCCGAAGTGGCGGCGCACGCTCCGGCCGAAGGCCAGCGCCGCGCAGGCCTGGCGCGTGTAGCGCACCGTGCGCAAGTCGCCGCGGAAGGGGCGCACCAACGCGTCGATGGAGCCGTGCGTCGTCGCGAGCTCCGCGACGGAACCGGCGAAGACGACGCCGTCGAAGCGCCGCGGCGCGCCGCCAAAGGCCGCCGCGACGAAGCCGCCGTCCGCGGCGCGGACCTCTTTCACGCGAGTCCCGAAGCGGAGCTCCGCGGCCTCGACGAGGCGGCGGCAGACCGCGTTCGAGTCGCCCGCCGGGAAGAGCACGCCCGGACCCTCGCGCGACGCGACGCCGGCCTCGAGGAGCGCGCGCGCGGCGATCTCGCCCGCGCCGCCGTCCTCGGTGTAGTGCAGCTCCTGGGCGCCCATGTTGGCCCTCAGCTCATCGTCCCCGAAGCGGGCCGTGGCGAGCCGGCCGCCGACGCCGCGCGCGCCGTCCCACACGTGGACTTTTGCGTCGGGCAGCGCTTCGCGCAGGAAGAACGCGGCGAGGGAGCCGGAGAGGCCGGCGCCGACGACCAGGATCTCCATCGCGAACGTTTCGCGTCAGGCGCGCGTGGTTTTAGGGACCAGCGCAGGCGCCCATCATTCAAGCAGCCCCTGCGGACCTAGTCGCGCGTGGTTTTAGGGACCAGCGCAGGCGCCCATCGTCGGGCCAGCCCTGTTGTTGAACATCAATGTTGTGGTTTCTGGAAGAGTTCCCTGGCCTCCATTGTTGCCTGTGACACGATGGAGGCCTGATTTTGATCGTCGACGACCATGGACCTGCTCAAGGGCCTCGTCGGCGATCCGGCGAAGATCGGCGAGGGCCTGACGTCCTACGGCAGCGACCTCAAGACGTCCATCGGCACCGAGGGCGACTGGGATGTCGTCATGGTGCTGCCCGTGACGCCGTCGGACGAGGAGTCGAAGGAGGAGGACGTCGAGAACGCGAACCGCAAGTTCTTCGAGGCGACCATCGAGAAGCTGGCGTCCGCGGGCCTCCAGTACAAGAGCTACTATAGCATCCAGGGGGACGAGATCTACGTGAAGATCCGGAGTCCCGAGGACCGCCTCGAGGGCCAGGCGGACGTCCGCGACGTGCCCATGCTCATGGACCCGTCCAAGCTCGAGAAGGCCCTAGCCGCGGGCTTCCCCGAGCTCCAGATCGCGCCCATCGACATCGGCACGGACTGCGACGGCCAGGCGGTGTCGCGCTTCGCGCCGTCGCAGCACATCTACTGCAAGTACGACCGGCACCCGAGCCTCCTGCCGCTCTACTCGCACCCGGCGAACGCGACGTCGCCCTTCCGGTCCATGCAGCGCATCAAGCTCGTCACGGACATCATCCAGACGCTCCACCGCTTCGGCGGCTGCGAGATCTCCGTCGGCAAGGAGATCAACGACGGCAAGATGCTCGCCTTCATGTGCCTCCACGACCCCATCGAGCGCACGGCCCTCTACCACAAGTGGATGACCTACCCCTGGGCGGCGCCCGTGAGCCAGATGCCCTTCGACGAGTACAAGGACTACTTCGGCGAGCAGGCCGCGCTCTACATGGCGTCCCTGGGCCACGCGACGACGTACACGGCCTGGCTCGGGGCCCTGGGCCTCGTCGCGACGACGATCATCCAGGTCATCGGCTTCGACTCGAAGCCCGCGGCCTACTGCCGCGCGATCTTCGGCGTCGCGCTCTTCGTGTGGCTCGCGGCGTACCACGACGGCTGGCGCAAGACGGAGCAGACCTACGCGCTCAAGTGGGGCATGACGGAGTTCGAGGAGGAGGAGCCGGAGCGGCCCCAGTACCAGGGCCACATCGTCAAGTCGCCCATCGACGGCAAGCCGGCCGTCTACTTTCTGCCCAAGGAGCGCGCGCCGGCCGTCGCCAAGGGCGTGCTGGCGACGCTCGGCATGATCCTGTTGAACCTGGGCTTCATGCTCCTCATGGTCGTCTTCAAGAAGCAGGGCCACTTCACGCGGACGTACAGCTCGATGCCGGCGACGCTCGCGAACGCGATCGGCATCCAGGTCTTCACCTTCGTCTTCAAGGACATCGCCGTGAAGCTCACGGAGGCGGAGAACTGGCGCACGGAGACGGAGTTCGCCGACAAGCTCACGCTCAAGCTCTTCTGCTTCAACTTCATCAACGCCTACGGCTCGCTCTTCTTCACGGTCTTCGTGCAGTCGCACGTCAGCCCGCCCGACGGCTTCGGCTCGAACTGGGCCTGCCTCGAGAACAACTGCCTCTGGGACCTGCTCTTCAACCTCTACATCATCTTCGCGGCGAACCTCGTCGTCTCCGCGGGCGTGTCGTTCGTGCTGCCGATCCTGCAGATCAAGTTCAACGAGTACAACGAGGGCGGCATGGACGAGGCCATGACCAAGGCCGAGTGGGAGTACATGCTCGTCGAGTACGACGAGACCCTCGACATGATCGAGAACTACATGATCGCGACGGTCCAGTACGGCTACATCGCGCTCTTCTCGCTCGCCGCGCCCGCGACGGCCTTCATCGGCTTCCTGTCGAACATGGTCACGCTGCGCCTCAACGGCTACAAGTACCTCACGGGCTTCCGGCGCATCGAGCCCCGGGGCGCCCAGGACATCGGCGTCTTCGACTCCATCTACACGTTCATCAACTTTGCGGCCGTGCTCTCGAACGCGGCGATCTTCGTCTTCCTGCCGCCGCTCTTCACGAACGCCCAGGGCTACGGGCCGTCGAACCGCGCGAACATCTTCATGCTCATCGTCGCCTTCTTCGCGCTGGGGCTCATCCTCGGCCAGATCATCGCGAACGACGACGAGCCGGACGTCGCGCTCCAGGTCCTGCGCCAGGACTTCATCAAGTCGAAGATCGTCGACAAGATCGCCGACGAGGACGAGGCCATCACCATCGACAAGAAGGCCCCCGTCTTCGACATCACGAAGAAGGACGACGGGCCCTACTTCACCCACCTGGCCGAGGTCCTCGGCGAGGTGCCCGAGGCGTCGCTCCCGGCGCCCGCGAAGGCGGCCGACCTCGCGTGAACCCGCGGCCGTAGGGGCGCCGGGCGGGGCCTCGCAACCTTGTTTTTATTTATCTTTCGAATTTGTCGCTGCACCACGCGCGCTGCACGCGCCGCTGCAACTTCTGTTCAATGCGGTCGTTATTGAGTCGTGACGATGGCGGTTCTGATGGGGCTCGCGCTGGCGCTCGCCGCGGGCTCGGCCAATATCATCGACCTGCCCTGCACGGACATCTCGGACCCCTGGGCATGCGTGGCGCACACGGATCTGAGCCTCCATATTTGCGAGTGGTGCGCGGCGCCGGGGTCCCGGGGCTGCCGCCCCGTCGGGCTCAACAACTGCAGCGCGCCCTGCTGCGTCGCCAAGGGCAGCCTGTCGTCCTGCGACATGGACGACGTCAAGGACCTCGCGGCGTCGAGTTGCGACGGGTCGACGGCGACGGCGCGCTCCGCGGCCGCGCTGCCGAAGCCGAAAGCCAAGGCCGTGGGCGTGGGCTTCTCGGGCGGCGGGTCCCGCGCCTTCACGTGCGCCATGGGCTGGGTCCGCGCGCTCCGGGACCTCGGCCTCTGGAGCGAGGACCTCGTCGTGACGAGCGTCTCCGGCAGCGCGTGGTTCCTCGGGCCGCGAGTGCTCCGGCGTCCCCGAGCGCGGCGGGCTTCGAGGCGCGCGCGCCTAGGTACCTCTACGCGCCGACGAACGCGAGCGACGACGCGCTCGTCGGGGCCTACGTCCCGCCGGAGAATCTGACGGTGGCGGCGGTGACGTCCGCGGCCGGCTCGTTCGCGGAGCTGCCGGCGGCGATCATCACCAAGTGCGTCGAGCTCCTCGCGGAGCGCGCGCTCTACGACAGCAAGCCCTGGGACCACATCTGGCGCGACGCCATCTACCAGACGTTCCTCAAGCCGACGGGTGCGACTAGTACGATCCCGAAGAAATCCATACCTTGATTATCACAGGCATCGGCGTGGACCAGCCCTTCTTCGCGACGCGCGCGGCCGCGGACGCGGCCGCGGCGCGCAACGCGGCGGTCTTCGGCGCGCTCTCGCGCGCGCCGCTCGCGCCGCGGGACGGCGCCGCGCCCGACGTCGTCTTCGTCGGCGCCATCGAGGGGCCCGAGGCGCTCATCCCGTTGGCGAACAACACGTACCTGCCGCTGGCGATGGGGCCCGAGTACGTGGGCACGGGATCCGGCGTCGTCGACGTGCCCTACGCGAAGCACTGGCCCTGGAGCGACAACGGCACCTACGCCGTCGGCGGCTACGTCGAGTCCTGGGCCTTCGGGAGCGCGCCCGTCGCCGCCGGCGACGACGGGACGGCCGTCGCGCTCGCGAAGCGCCTCTTTAGTCTCAACAACGCCGTCGGCATCGCGTCGATGGCGCCCGCGGCGCTCCTCACGCACCTGCCGGAGGTGCTCGAGGCGCGGCGGCGCCTCGGCGGCGACGACGACGACGGCGACGCCGGGAGCGGCCTGCTCTCGCTCGTGCCGACGTTCCGCCTCTGGGCGCCCGCGGAGGGCGTCGATCCCGACGACCCGCCGGACTTCTTCGCCGTGGGCGACGGCGGCGACCTCGACAACTTCGGCATCCTCCACCTGCTCCAGCGGGGGCTCGACCGCATCGTCGTCTTCGACGCCTGCGAGGACCCGCTCGCGCCCGCGGACGCCTGGGACCCCTACGCGGTGAACGCGACCGGCGGCGTCCCCGCGGCGCGAGTTTTTATGCGGGAGAAAACGCGAATTGACGGTAGGCGACGGCGGACCTCGTCGACCTCTACATCCCCGCCATGTTCGGCCGGGTCGTCAGCGCCGACGTCGAGTGCAACGTCGCCAACAACCACGTCTTCGACGCCGAGGGCCTGCCGCGCCTCGTGGCCGCGCTCCAGGCGGCGAACGCGACCGGCTCCGGCGCCGTCGCGTCCGTGAACGTGACGACGGTCGCGAACGAGCTCTTCGGCATCGAGGCGGGCCGCGTCGTGGATCTGACCTTCGTGTACCTGGACCTGCCGCGGAAGTGGGTCGACGCGCTCCCCGACAAGACCAAGGCGGCCATCGCCGACGACATGCCGAACTTCCCCCAGTTCCCGACGATCACGCACCTGGACCTGTCCGTCGCCGAGGTGTCGCTCCTGTCCCAGCTCAACTCGTGGGTCGTCCGCGAGCACGCGGCCCTCCTCGCGGCGAAGCTCCAGTAAGTTAGCCCCGGTCCTAGGGCAGGGGCGGCGCGATCTTGTACTTCTTGCGCTCGCCGAACTCCGTCATCTCCGCGCCGGAGCCCGTGACGCCGACGCGGCCGTCGACGGTGTCCGGGCTCGCGAAGATGGAGCCCTTGCGCGCGCCCTTCATGGAGCCCGCGACCTTGCGCTTCGCGCCCTTGCTCTGGAACGCGAGCCACGAGTTCTTCTGCCCGTCGCGGACCTCGTCCTTCTCGCGCTGCTTGTCCTTCTGCTTGAGCGCCTTGACCTTGCGCCGCTTCCGGAGCCGCTCCTGCTCGCTGTCCGTGTGGGACACGCGCAGGTGGTCCGGGATGCGCCAGGACCCGTCGGCCTCGCGGTAGAGTTCGTTCGCGTCGAGGCGCCCGCCGTCCGCGTCCTTGGGCCGGAGGTACTCGAGGGGCAGCTCCTCGCTGTTGCCGTACTCCTGGAACTGGACCTTGTACCCGAAGTCCGTGATCGCCTCGACGACGACCTCGTAGTACTTGCCGTCGCCGCTGTAGCGGCCGACGCACTCGAAGCCGACGTCGATCTGAGAAGGGTCGAGGGGGCTCTCGCAGATGAGCGGCCGGATGGACTCGGGCCCGACGGCCTCCGTGTTCCCGAAGCCGATGTAGACCAGCGTGTAGGAGTCGGGCGACACCGCCGTGATCACCGCGGGGTACCAGCTCGTCTTCGTCCCGTCGTCGAACTTGCCCTCGCACCGCATGCCCACCTGGAACGGGCTCACGTCGACGGCCGCGCCCTCGGCCTCGCCCGCGTCGCCGCTCGGCTGCTGGGACTCGCTCTGCTCGTGCTTGTACTTGAGCAGGTCCTCCGTGAGCTTCGTCACCTCGAGCAGGTCCGTGCGCAGCTTCAGGAACTGGTCGTTGCTCGGGTCCGCCTGGAGGAGCTGCTCGACCTGCGCGAGCTGCTCCGCGTACGTCGCGAGCTTCTCCGCGAGGTCCGCCATGGCCGCGCGGTGCCGGACGACGCGGTGCGCGGTGCCGGACGACGCGCTCGGCGGCTCGGCCGTCGGCGCGCCGCGGCGGAGCGAGGTGTGGAGACGATGGTGGGCCTTGTGGCAGCGCCGCGATAGGCCCGATCAGAGCACCCGCGCAGCGTGCACAAGCCTCCTAGACGCGCGCTGCAGCATTGATCGACGCCATGAACGACGACCTGCCAGCGCGCGTGCAGCAGGACGACACGACGCCTGCCAATGGCAACGCCCTGCAGGCCTGCGTCTGCTCGCTGCTGGGAAAGACGTTGTCGGAGACGCCCAACTTCGTGAAAGCGCCGGAAGGCTACGAGAAGGCCATAGCGGCCTACTTGCGGGAGCACGACGGCCGGCGACCGGTCAAGGTCGCGCTGCCGAGCGACGCGCTCGACGCGCACGACGGACGGCTGTGCATCCTGCGCGGCACATCGCCGCGCGGCGACTTTGGCCACGTCGCGCGCCGCCGGCGTCCCACACGTCGTCCGCGCACGCCACCACACGTCGCAGGTCGTCGCGCGCTACCGCGACGAGGCGTTCGTCGACGTCTGGGACCCGCACCCCGACGGCGCGTTCCTGGCCCCGCCGCGCGGCTGGGCCATGTTCTTCGTGTAACATCACGTGTAAAAACTGCCCCCTAGAGGCTCGTCAGGTCCGGCGCGTCGTCGGCCTCGAGCTCGACCTGGTCCGGCGGGTCCTTGGCGATCGTGGGGAGGTCGTCGTCGCCGTGGTACTTGAGCGGCGTGAAGACGAACTCCTCCTCGGGGAGCGCCGGCGGCTCGGGCGCCGGCGGCGGCGCCTCGACCTTGGTCTCCTCGGGCGGCGGCGGCGGCGCGGGCACCTTCGCGGGGCCCTTGGGCGACGACGACCCGAAGAACGACTTCGCGGACATGCCCGAGAAGGACTTCCAGACGCGCTGGGCCTCGAGGCGCGCGGCGTCGGCGGCGTCCTTCACCGAGGGCGCCTTGGGGTCGTCGCCGACGAGGGGCACGGCGCACGTGCACGTCGAGTTCCGCGGGCCCTCGACGGTGCCCTTGCAGCGGCGGCACCGGAGCACGAAGTCCGGCGCGTCGGGCGCCGGCGCCGGCGAAACGTCGGCCGCGGGCTCGGCCGCGGCGTCCTCGTCGTCGGAGCTGAGCTGCGCGTCCTTGGCGATCGTGCCCTTCTTGCCCGTTTTCGGGCTCGCGTCCGCGACGAAGGACTTGAAGGCGGCCGCGAAGGACCTCGAGGCCTTGTCCTTGGGCCCGCCGGCGGCGGAGGCGTCGAAGGGGTAGGGCTTGGGCGCCGGCTCGGACGCCGCGGCCGTCGGGCTCGGCGCGTCGGCCGCGGAGGCGTCGTCGTCGCCCGCGTCGGCGAGGTCCTCGGACGCGGACATGGAGAAGGCGCTCTCGTCCATGGCCTGCTTCAACAGCTCCGAGTTCTTCGCGCGCGCCTCGGCGAAGGCCTTGCGCGCGTTCTTGACCTCGCGCACGAGGAGCTTCTTCTGGTCGTTCAACTCCGCGACGCGCGCGTCCGCGGCCGCGCGCGTCTTGGCGATGATGCCCAGGTTCATGCGCGCCTCGTCGACCTCGCGGTCGAGCTGGTCGCAGTCGGCGAGGATCGCGGCCTTCTTCTCCGCCTCGTCGCGGAGCAGCGCCTCCTCGCGCGCGAGCTCCGCCTCGAGCTCCGCGACCTCGAAGCCGTGCTCCCGCAGCTCCTGGGCCTCGCGCGCGGCGCCGGACTCGCTCTCGAGGAGCGTCGCCTCGAGGGACGCGACCCGCGTCGCGAGCGCGACGCCCGCGGCCTCGAGGCGCGCGAGCGACGCGCGGCGCTCCGCGGCGGCCGCGAGGCCCGAGCTCCGGCCGCCGGGCGACCCCCCGGGGGCGTCGTCGTCGGGCGCCGGCGCCTCGGGCGGCGCGTGGTCCGCGACGTCGGCTAACAGCGCCTGGAGCTGGTCCACGAGCTCCGACTCCTCGCGCGCGGTCCGCTCAAAGTCCGCCGCGGCCTGCTCCGCGTCCTCGGAGCTCTTGCCCATGATCTGCGTCATGTGCGCCGTCTGCGCCTGGAAGTCGTGCTGGAGCTCCTGGTACGCGTCGCGCTCGTCGCGCAGCACGAAGTAGCGCTCGCGGACGAGCGCCGAGAGCCACGCGTTCATGTCCTCCTCGGAGTCGGCCTGGAAGTAGAAGGTGCGCTGGGGCCCGGCGTGGGCCGGCGTCGCGAGGCGCACGACGTTGTTCGGCTCGGCGCTGATGTCCGTGTAGTACTCCAGGTCGATGATGCCCCGCGGCGTGTCGCCCTCGGCGTCCTCGAAGTAGTAGAGCAGGCTCTGCGGCGCGAGCACGCAGAAGCGCCGCTGCCACGAGTGCTGCTCGTTGCGCTTCGTCAGGTTCCCGCTGATGATGCCCAGCTGGCTCGTCACGCGCGCCGTCTTCGGCGGCGAGCTCTTGATCGTGATCGTCGTGTTCAGGTTGCTGAAGAGCAGGTTGTTGCTCAGGCCCGCCGCCGCCAAAAGCCGCCGCCGGTAGCGGTCGCTCGTCGCCTGGGCCGAGCCGAAGACGCCGAGCTTCGACATGGTGGTGTCGTGCGCTTAGGGCGGCCACTACTCACGCTGCCCGCGCCGATCGCACCAGCCTCGTCTGTGAGTCGTGTTTCGACGGCGGGGTCCGGGGACCCCCCGGCCGCGGGGGCGGTGAGGCGACGCGCTGCGGCCGCCGCGCAGGCGGCCGCGGGACGCCGACTCGGACGCGATGCCATCACCATCGACGCCGCCGGACCCGTCAACGACGCCGTCGTCGACCGCCCTCTTACACCGCGCCGCCCCCCTTGGCGACGAGGGGCGCGCCCTCGCCGTCTGGGCGGGCGCCGTCGTCGGGTTCCGCCTTCGGCGGCGCGCCGCGCCGGCCCGTGAGGACGCTGTTCACGAGCGTCTGGAAGCCCCAGCCGACGAGGAGGATGCCCGCGAGCGTGTCCTGGTGGTCCTTGGCCGACGCGAGGTAGTCCATGGCGCCGCGGACGACGATTGGCGCGAGGCCGAGCGCGACGAAGATGCCGTACTGCGACGCGCGCATCATGTCCTCCTTGTCGATGCCGACGGCGCGCTCGAGGACGAGCGCGTTGAAGGGCGCGGACGTGAGGCAGTTCGTGACGTAGAAGAGCAGCGACGCGGCGAGGAAGACGGCGCAGAGCGACGCGTCGAGGGCCGTCCCGACCTTCGCGTTGCTCTTCGTGAACATGGCGGCGATGCTCGCGGCCTCCAGGAGCTCGAGGACGTGGAGCGCGCGGACGGGGTGGCTCGCCTTGCAGTAGCGGCTGAAGACGTACTGCCCCAGCGCCTGGAAGAACCCGAAGGACGAGAGCGCGTAGCCCGCCGCGACGTAGCCCCAGTCGTAGTTCGCGGCGAGGACGACGACCGCGCCGACCTCCCAGCCGAGGCGCTGGTAGATGCGGAGCAGGTTGCCGAGGAAGATCTCCAGGAGCAGCTCCTGGCGCACGCTGAGGAGGCCGCGGTCCGCGCGCGAGATCGCCTTGGCGGCGGCGACGTCGTCGAGGCCGCTCACGGCGACGCGGCCGTACTCGCGCTCGAGGTCCGCGTCGCCCGGGAGGCGCGTCGCCACGAGCGCGAGGACGACGAGCCCCCAGGCGGCCATGACGGCCGCCGAGAGCGACTCCTCGAGCACGACCGACCCGACGCCCTGCGCCACGGCGAGGCACGAGCTCGAGACCGCGGGCCCGAGCACGAGGCCGAGGCCCACGAACGACTGGTACATGGCCAGGTACCTGACGCGGTGCTCCGCCGACGAGTAGCCCACGAGCGCCAGGTTCGCGTTGTACATGCAGCCCGCCTCGAGCCCCACGACGAAGCGCGCGAGTAGGAGACCGTAGAACGTCGCCTCGCGGGACAGCCCCGCGGCGGCGACGATCGCGAAGAGGCCGTTGCCCGCGCACATGAGGCAGGCCTGCAGCACGTAGGCCGGTCGCACGGCGCGGCGGTCGTAGGTGGACCAGAAGTAGAGCGAGACGATGGCGCCGCCCGCGTAGCTCGACACGATGACGCCGCTCTCCAGCAGCGTCGCGCTGTAGTAGGTGGACACGGGCACTAAAAGCGTAAAATTCGCCATCACGCCCGTGCACACGAGGCACGTGAAGAAGAGCAGCGGCGGCGGCACCTCGCCCGACGCGGTCACCATGGTGCGGCTCGTCGGGCAGCGTGCGCAGTCCGTCGGGCAGCCGAGCTCTAGCTTGACATCATAAGGATAATATTATCCAGTGTCATCGATATCCAAGTGGCAAACGTGCAGTTCATCAGTGACCTATCCGATCGCGCTTAAGTGAATGTACAGAAGGCCGCTTACGTCGCACGCCTGGAGCCCTACCCGACGGAGACGCGGAGGCTGATGCGCTCGTCGGGCGGCACGCCGATCTCGTCGAGGTCGTCGTCGCTCAGGAGCGCGAGGTCCGCGACCTTGCGCGCGCCGAGCCCGGCGAGGGCCGGCGCGTACTGGCCGAGGCCCCGGGCCTGGAGGAAGCGCACGAGCTGCTCCGCGGGCGCGCCGTCGGCCGCGCGCGCGCCGTCGACGGACCGCGTCCGGCTCGCGAGGCGGTTCCGGTGCGCCGTCGCGGGCCGATCCGACGTATTCTTCAGCACGACGCGCTCGTAGTCGAGCGTCGACGGGACGTCGAGGCTCGGCCGCGGCCGCCGCGCATTGGGCCTGGGCACCGCGCGCCGGTCGCCGAGCGCGTCGAGCAGGCACCCGGACGTCGCGAACTCGACGGGGGTTTGCGCCCCGGACCCGACGACGACGACCTCGATCTGGTCCCGCGCTGCCGCGCGGCCGACCTCGACCTGGTCCCGCGCGTCGCACTCCGGCGTCACGCGCGCCGGCGCCGACGGCGGGCTCTTGTCCGGCGTCACGCGCGCCGGGAGCGCCTCGCTCTCGGTGTCGTCGACGTCGCTGGGAAGGGGCTGGCAGATGACGTCGTCCGTGTCCAGCGCGAGGATGACCGTGTGCGTCGGCGCGACCGCGCCACGTAGCCCGAGCAGCGCGGCCATAGCTTGAAAAATCGCCGGGCTGCTGCCGTGTTAATCAAACCAAGGGGATCTTCAAGTATCCCCTTGATCAAACGTGAAATTCACCGAGCAGGCCGTATCCAGCTCGTTTGCTTGCCACAGGCTTGGATCTGGGGCCGGCGAAGAGCCGCCGGCGCCCTCGAGCGCATCGATATGGCGACCCAAGAAGAACGCGTCCGCAGGAACGAGCTCCTGCGCGAGTCGTTGACGCTCTACGAGCAGGAGGAGTGCGAGGTCGCCTGCGCCAAGTACCTCATGGACTTCGAGGGCATCAGCGACGAGCAGGCGGCGCGCATGGAGTCGGCGGGCATGCTCGACGACCGGCGGCGGCCGCGGCTCATGCGCGAGCGCCACGTCGCCTACCTCATGAAGGGCCTCGGGGGCCTCGGCGGGTCCTACGTCGCGTTGGACGCGTCGCGGCCGTGGCTCTGCTACTGGATTTTACACGGCATGGACCTGCTCGACGCGCTGCCGGAGGAGAAGATCGACGACTGCGTCGCGACGCTGGCCAAGTGCCGGAGCCCGACGGGCGGCTACGGCGGCGGGCCGCAGCAGCTCGCGCACTGCGCGCCGACCTACGCGGCGTCGCTCGCGATCGCCGTGCTCGGCACGCGGCGCGCGTACGAGTCCGTGGACCGGAAAGGGTTGTACGCCTTCCTCCTGTCCATGAAGGACCCGAGCGGCGGCTTCCGCATGCACGACGACGGCGAGGTCGACGTGCGGGGCACGTACACGGCGCTGGCCGTCGCCGCGCTGTTCAACGTGCTGACGCCGGAGCTCGCCGAGGGCGCGGCGGCCTACGCGCTGCGCTGCCAGACCTACGAGGGCGGCTTCGGCGGCGAGCCCGGCGTCGAGGCCCACGGCGGCTACGTCTTCTGCGCGCTGGCCGCGCTCGTGATCCTGAACGCGACGGACGCCGTCGACCTCGACGCGCTGGAGCGGTGGCTCGCGCGGCGCCAGACCCGCGTCGAGGGCGGCTTCCAGGGCCGCACGAACAAGCTGGTGGACGGCTGCTACAGCTTCTGGCAGGGCGGCACGCTCGCGCTCGTCGCGCACGTGCGCAGGGGCCACACGCGGAGCGACGAGGCGCCGCCGGGCCTCGTCTGGCGGCCCGGGGGCCGCGCGCCGCCGCCCGCGCCGCCGCCGCCCGCGGACGATTTGGACCTCGACCTGGACCTGGACCTCGACGGTTGCCGGGGCCCGACGCTCGGCGACGAGCGCGCGCTCCAGCGCTACATCCTCCTCTGCGCGCAGGTGTACCCCGAGGGCGGCCTCCGCGACAAGCCGGGCAAGAACCGCGACTACTACCACACGTGCTACTGCCTCTCGGGCCTCGCCGCGAGCCAGCGCCTCTACGGCGACGACGCGTCCACTGTCGTCTACGGCGACCCGGGCAACCTCCTCCACGAGACGCACCCGGTCTTCAACGTTCGCGTGGACAAGGTCGCCCGCGCCGCGGCCTTCTTCGCCGGCCTCCCCCACACCCACGCCGAGCTCACGAGCGCCTAAGTGGGTGGACACGACGCGACGGCGCGGGCGAACGCGGCGAGCATGGCCGGGAGGCGCGGCGTGTAGTGGCGCCCGTCCTTCGTCGCGTTGCACGCGCGCCGCGTGATCGCGTGCGCGTCGACGACGGGGACGCCGCGCGCGGCGCGGAGCGCGGCCCGCTCGAGGGACGCGGCGAAGTCGGAGCCCCAGGACGTGAGCGATAGCCGCGCGCAGAGCGGCACCTCGCTTCCCCGCTCCGGCCCGAGCGTCGCCGCGCACGTCGATTCGAAGTACAAGTAGAGCGATCGCTTGTTGCGTCCCCCGGGAGAGAAGGCCGCGTAGGACGTCGCGGACCGCACGACGCGCGCGTAGCGGTCGACGAAGGCGGCGTCGCAGATCCAGTTCACCGTGTGGAACACGGGGCAGGCGCGCCTCGAGCGGACGGCGGCGGCGACGTCGCCGAGGCCCCGCGTCACGTTGAGCTCCGGCCACCCGCCGTAGGCCCGCGACGGCAGGAGCTGCATCGCGGGCAGGAGCGTCGACCCGAAATAGACGATCCGCCGCGCGTCGGCGGCGCCGCCCGCGGCGTCGAGGTAGGCGGTCGCGCTCTCGGCGGTCATGCGCCACGCCCGTTGCGCGCCGCCGAAGTTCTCTCCGGTGACGACGCGGACGCCGCCGCCCTCGCAGTCGCCCGACGACGGGTCGTCGACGCGGTCCGTCAGGATGTCGCAGAGCAGCTCCATCTGTCCCAGCGTCGTGCTGTCGCCGATCCAGATGATGTCGACCGGTGGTGCGAGCGCTTCTAGGAGCGTGTTTTTGAGTGCCGCGAGGTCGGACGACGGCGGCAGGTCCTCGCGCCGGTACTGGCTGCCGAGGCAGCTCGTGAGTAAGAATGCGAGCGAGGCTAGGTGCATGCGGCGGCTGCCCAAATTACGGATCTGCCATCGTTGCGGTGGCCGCCCAAATTACGGATCTGCCATCGTTGCGGTGGCCGCCCAAATTACGGATCAAGATCTGCCATCGTTTGAGACTGCAATGTTTGGGAAACTTACCCTACCTAGGTAATGATGCCGCGGGTCGAGCATCTGGGTCGAGCGAGGTGGGCCGAGCCTCGACACCCTCTCCGTGCAAATCTCGCAGCGAATTCGATGGCCGCGCTCGCGGGCAAGCGCAAGGAGCGGGAGGACCCGCCGGAGGAGGACTGGCGCAAGGGCCTGTCCTGGTGGCGCGGCGAGATCGACGTCGAGGACGAGGACGTCGCGCCCCTCTTCGCCTGGCAGGGCACCTACGTCGAGGCGCCGGACTCGACGCCGCCGGCCGACGAGGCCTTCGACCGCTCGAAGAACACCTTCGAGTTCCGCACGGACTCGGTCGAGGAGGACCTCTACGAGGTGCTCGAGTGCTGGCACATGAACGAGCCGGGCGGCGACGACCAGATGCTCAACCTGGAGTTCTTCGGCGACCAGCAGATCGTCGACGGCTGCTTTGGCGTCGACGGCGCGCTGTCCGATCGCGACATGGACGACCGCGGCGAGACGCACTTCTGGGGCACGCGCGGCATGGCCGCGGCCGGCGTCGGCCTCACGACGAAGGGCAAGTACGTCGCGTACGGCGCGCTCGAGCGCCGCGACGGCGCGCCGATCATGACCCTCGCCCGGCGCTTCGTCTCCGCCGACGACCCGCGCGCGGCCTGGACCTCGCCGGAGCAGGTCCTCGACTCCATCCTCGGCCCGAAGCCCGACGGCGCCGCGCCGGGCTCGCCCGCGGCGCCGCCGACCCTCGCCGCCGTCGCCGCGGCGCTGCCCCGGAAGACCGCAGACCAGCAAAAGGCCGAGAATCAAGCTCTTTGGGAGCAAATGAGGGACAAGGCTTTGCAGGATGGCTTCGATGCGGGACGCGATATTGGCCGCTACCGAGGCCCCCGTGGCATCTGAGCAGACGCTGCTCGGCCCGTTGTTTGTGAGAGAGTGCTTCGGCACCACCCTGGAAGTTCCCCTAATCCTTACTGTCCGCCGACGCCGGGAGCAGGGCGAGCGCCTTGCCCTTGACCGCCGGCCGGACGCACTGGAGGACGCGGTCGCTGATGAGGTTCACGGGGAGGTCCATCAGGGCGACGTCGCAGCCGAACTTCTTGTCCTGGCGCTTCGGGTGCGGCAGGCGCCGCGGCGGCGGCCCGCAGGGCGAGACGACGTCGTGGGCGCATTTGTGGACGTCGAAGACCTCGCCGTCGACCTGGAGCCAGTCGAAGAGGAGCTCGAAGCACGCCGTGTTCCACCGACTTCCCGCGTTGCCGATGGACGACGCCGCGCCGACGTGGACGAAGAGGTTGTGGCGGTAGGCGACGAGGGGCTTGGGCGCCGCCAGCGCCCACTCCGTGAACGCCAGGTCCGGCGGCTTGGCGCCCGCGCGGGCCCCGACGTGCGCCGCGAGGGCCGCGAGCTCGGCCTTTGGGACGACGATGCCGTTGAGGCCGTAGGACACGCGCAGCGCGCCAAAGGCCCCGTGGACGGCGTCGGCGCGGGCGACGGCGGCGACCAGCGCCGCGAGCAGGCCGTGGCACGCGACCCAGTCGTCCTCGAGGAGCACGGCGTAGCGGAAGTCGTAGGTTCGCAGCGCGTGGGTCGCGGCGGCGACGACGTCGCGCGACTGCTTCGCGACCTTTGGGCCGCCGGCGAGCAGGCGCCGCCGGCCCGCGGCGAGGCGGTAAAAGTCGAAGAGGGCGCCGCCGTGCGCCGACCGCGCCTCGGCGAAGGCCCGGCCCTCGGCGCCCGCGGTCGCGTCCGCGACGAGGATTTTCGCCGCCGCGCCGACGGCGGCGCCCGGCGCGCCGAGCTCGCGGTCCAGCGACTTGAGCGCGCGCCGCAGGTAGTTCTGCGCGCCGCGGTCCACGTGCATGAGGATGCCGAGGAACAGCGGGGCGCCGGCCGCCGCCGCGACCGGCCTCGGTTGTCGCCGCCGCTCCGCGGCCGCCGCGGCCGCGGCCGCCGCGCGCGCGGCGGCCTCGTCGCAGCGCAGGTGCGCCGCGGCGGCCGCCGCCGTCGCGTTCGCCGCCGCGGACGCCGCCGCGGCGCGCCGCTCGCGCTCGAAGGCCGCGACGTCCGCCTCGAGGCGGTCCCGCGCGCGTCGCACGTCCGCGGCCTCGCCGGCCGCCGACGTCGCGCGCGCGGCGGACGCGAGCTCCTGCTCCGCGCGCAGCGCGCGCGTCGCGCCCTCGAGCTGCGCGCGCGCCGCGTCGAGCTCCTCGAGCACCGCGGCGACCTCCGCGCGCGACGCGGCGTCGAGCTGCCCCAGCGAGTGGTGCGTCTCCAGGCGCGGCTGCGCGTGCTGGCTGTTGAGCAGGTGCGTCTGCTGGATCGTCACGACGACGACGACGACGAAGATGACCGCCGCACCCTGCCACTGCTTCATTGGTCTGGGTGCACAGGGCAAACTGGCTTTTTAGGCGCACATCGCGATCGGTCTTGTGGCAAAGGCAACGAGTGGCAAGATCGACTTTTTCAGCCACCTCATCGCAATGGCACGTCCGAAGCGCCTGTGTTTTGCGCTCATCGCAGCTCAAGCGACCGCGCTCGTGGCGCCGAAGTCGCCACTGTGCTATGCGCTCATCGCAGCTCAAGCGACCGCACTCGTGGCGCCGAAGTCGCCACTCATCACCGTAGCGAAAACCTTGCCTCTTGCCGCAGCGCTGGCAGCCCCCGCGGCCGCGCTGTCGACCTCGTCGCCGCTCGTCGCCGCGTGGGATCGCGGCGCCGGCGCCTGCGAGATGCGGCCCATCGTGCAGAGCGCGCCGCCGGACACCGCGGCGCTCGCGGCCACGCGGTCGACGCAGGGCTGGAAGGGCCTCTGGGAGGCGCGCATCGAGCACTTCGAAAAGGTCGCGTCCACGGGGTTGCGGGTGCGGCCGTTCTACGGCATCGACGCGGACGGCGGCATCGTGAGCGACGTCCACGTCGCCGTCGGCCCGCTCAAGGGCTGGGTCTCGGCGTCCGGCTACATGCTGCCCGTGCCGAACAAGGTGGGCGAGGTCGACCTGATTTTCGACGACTTTTGGGTCGCGGGCGACACGGCGGAGCCGCGCGCCTCGCCCTCGGACGAGGAGTCGAACGTCATCGACAAGCTCATCCGCGACGTCGGGCGCCTGTCGTTCTTCGAGGGCATCGCGCGGTTCCCCGTGGACTACTTCCAGGACGACATGGTCGCCTTCCGGTTCACCGCGTTCGACTCGCAGATCGTCGCGCGGAGGGCTCCCGACGGCGCGAGGCCGCAGCGCGTCAAGGGGATCTAAAAGAGGGCGGTCTCTTGCAAGTATCTTACAGGACGTAACTTCCGGTCAGCAACCCGAAGGCGGCGAGCACCGAGAAGCGGAGCACGTCGAGGCCGCTCCGCTGGGAGGGGAAGGGAGCGAGCGGCTTCGCGGGCGACGGCGAGGCCGGCGCGGACGAGGCGCCCGCGGAGGAGGAGGAAGCGCCCCCGGCGGCGACGCGAGCGTCCATCGAGGCCAGCAGCGAGTCGGCCTCGGCGGGCGCGGAGGAGGAGGAAGCGCCTCCGGCGGCGGCGCGAGCCATGGCGTCCATCGAGGCCAGCAGCGAGTCGCCGGCGACGGCCCCGCTGACGTCCGGGGTGACGGGGGAGGAGGCGCCCCCGGCGGCGGCGAGAGCCATGGCGTCCATCGAGGCCAAGAGCGAGCCGCCGGCGACGGCCTCGGCGGGGACGGTCGAGGCGGCGGCAGCGCGAGCCATGGCGTCCATCGAGCTCACCAGCGAGCCGCCGGCGACGGCTTCGACGGGGACGGCCGCCGGGGCGACGGCTTCGACGGGGACGGCCGGCGCGACGGGGGACGCCTGCGGCGCCGCGTCGTCCTTCGCGGTGAGCCACGACGGCGCGGACGAGCCGCCCGCGACGGCTTCGGCGGGGGCGGCCTCCGCTTCCGCCGCGGCCTTCCCGCCGCGCGACGCGATGCGCCGCTGGCGGTCCGCCGCGGATTTCAGAACCGCCGCGTGCTTCGCCTCGTGCGCAGCCTTTTCCGCGGCCGCCTCTTCCGCCTCAGCCGCAGCCTGCGCCTCCGCCGAAGGCAACTTCGCCGCAGCCTTCTCCTCCCGAGCCCGAATGCGCTCCTGGCGGTCCGCCACGGACTTCAGAACCGCCGCGTGCTTCGCGTCGTGCGCAGCCTTTTCCGCGGCCGCTTCTTGCTCCTCCGCGGACGCGAAGCCCGCAGCCTTCGCGGCCGCCAGAGCCTTCGCGTCCGCTTCAGCCTTGGCCACAATCGGGCGGAGACGCGCGACGCGAATGCGCCGCTGGCGGTCCGCGGCGGACTTCAGAACCGCCGCGTGCTTCGCGTCGTGCGCAGCCTTTTCCGCGGCCGCTTCTTGCTCCTCCGCGGACGCGAAGCCCGCAGCCTTCGCGGCCGCCAAAGCCTTCGCGTCCGCTTCAGCCTTGATCGCCGCGGCCTTCTCCTCGCGAGCCCGAATGCGCTGCTGGCGGTCCGCCGCGGTCTTCAGAACCGCCGCGTGCTTCGCGTCGTGCGCAGCCTTTTCCGCGGCCGCTTCTTGCTCCTCCGCGGACGCGAAGCCCGCAGCCTTGGCGTTCGCTTCAATTTTGGCGTCCGCCGCAGCCTTGGCCAGCTTCGGGCGGAGCCGCGCGACGCGAACGCGCCGCTGGCGTTCCGCCGCGGTCTTCAGAACCGCCGCAGCCTTGGCCTCGTGCGCAGACATTTCCGCGGTCACCGCTTCCGCCGTGGCCTTCACCTCGAGCGCGGCCTCCGCCATGGCGTCGGCGACGGGCTTGGCCGGGGCGGCCGGGGCGACGGGGGACGCCGCGGCCGGGGCGACGGGGGACGCCGCGGCGAAGGCGGAGCCCGTGAGCCAGTCGGGGCCGGACGAGGCGCTCATTGCCTTGAAGTCGCGCTCCTTGCCCTTGAACGCTTGCGCCCCCATCGAGGCGAAGTGGTCCATGTTGCCGGAGGCGGCGGCCTTGGCGGGGGCGGCCGCGGGGGCGGCGGAGTTGGAGAGCCAGTCGGGCACAGACGAGGAGCCCGCGGAGGAGGAGGAAGCGCTCCCGGCGGCAGCGCGAGCCATGGCGTCCATCGAGGCCGTCAGCGAGTCGGACGCGGCGCCCGCGGAGGATGAGGAAGCGCTCGCGGCGGCAGCGGAAGCCATGGCATCCATCGAGGCCGTCAGCGAGTCGGACGCGGCGGGCGCGGAGGAGGAGGAAGCGCTCGCGGCGGCAGCGGAAGCCATGGCGTCCATCGAGGCCGTCAGCGAGTCGGAAGCGGCGCCCGCGGAGGAGGAAGCGCTCGCGGCGGCAGCGGAAGCCATGGCGTCCATCGAGGCCGTCAACGAACCGCCGGCGACGGCTTCGGCGGGGACGGCCGTGGCGACGGGGCCCGCCGGGGCCGCGGGGGACGCCGGAGCGGCGGAGCCGGAGAGCCAGTCGGGCACGGACGAGGCGCCCGCGGCCTTGAAGTCGCGGTCCTTGCCCTTGAACGCGCCCGCCGTCGACGCGAAGTGGTCCATGTTGCCGGAGGCGGCGGCCTTGGCCGGGGCGGCCGCGGCCGCGGGGGCGGCCGCGGGGGCGGCGGAGCCGGAGAGCCAGTCGGGCACGGACGCGGCGCCCATGGCCTTGAAGTCGCGGTCCTTGCCCTTGAACGAGCCCGCGGTGGACGCGAAGTGGTCCATGTTGCCGCTGGCGGCCTTGGCCGGGGCGGCCGCGGCCGCGGGGGCAGCGGCGGGAGCGGCGGAGCCGGAGAGCCAGTCGGGCACGGACGCGGCGCCCGCGGCCTTGAAGTCGCGGTCCTTGCCCTTGAACGAGCCCGCCGTCGACGCGAAGTGGTCCATGTTGCCGGAGGGTGTGGCCTTGGCCGGGGCGGCAGGAGTCGCCGTGGCGAAGGCGGAGCCCGCGAGCCAGTCGGGCCCGGACGCGGCGCCCATGGCCTTGAAGTCGCGGTCCTTGCCCTTGAACGAGCCCGCCGTCGACGCGAAGTGGTCCATGTTGCCCTTGGCCGGGGCGGCCTTGGCGTTGCGCTCCTGCTCCATGCTGGCCAACGCCTGCTGGGCCGCCTTGGCGTCGACGGCCACGTGGGCCGCCGCGTCCTGATTGTGCTTGAGCCGCTCGAGGTTCGCGATCGACGCGGCGATCCACGCGGCCTCCCACGCGGCCTCTTCCGCCGCCTGGCTGATGCTGCGGCCGCCGGACCGGAGCGCGGCGAGCGCCGCCTGCGCCGCGCCCTCCACGTCGTTGCGCTCGGAATCGTCGTAGTTCGCCGCGACGGGGGCGCCGGCCGGCCCCGCCTTTACGGCTTCTTGGTTCAGCTCCTCGAGCCACGTCGCGCGCAGGGCCGTCGTCTTGAGCTCCACCGTAGGGGTCTTGAAGGCGGCGGCGGCCGTGGCGAGCGCGCAGAGCCGCGTGCCGACCATGTTTGACGGAATCACCTGCCGAAGCAATCGGCGCCAGGGACGTCACAATCAAGATCGTGTTTTGCTCCGAACTCGTGGATGCCACAGGAACAGGTTGAAGTCGTTGACCCTACGTTTACCTTGCCAATGCCGACGTGATTCACGGTGATTCAGGCGTCAAAACGTGCGTACATGGCTGCGCTGATCGGGTGGTTACTTTCCGACGCGTCTTCCGCTGGCGGGAGCTCCTCACCTAGCTTTTATGCGGCCATGTAGACTCTGTCGGACCGTGACATTGGTAGATGGCCCGGGTTCAAGCTGCTGGGAAATGCTACCATCCAAGATAGCCGCGCGCCGCGGCCCCGACGGCACGAGGTCGCAACGCGTCGCGGGGATCTAAAAGGGAGCCGGTACTAGGCGTGCCGACGTCCCTGGCGCGCGATCCACTTGAGAACTTGAACAAGTTTCCACATCGAGAGCTCGAGTTCTCGTACCTCAGCGCCGCCTCCACCGCCGCCGCGCGGCTCCAGCGTCTGCAGCGGTGCTCTCTATCACCTAAAGCGCCGCAAAAGAACAATAACCCAGGTCCGAAACCACCACGATGCGCGCCTTCCTCGCTTTGCTGGTCTCCGGCGCCGGCGCCCTCTCGATGACGCGCCGCGGCGTCGCGGCCCGCGTCGGCGTCGCCGTGACCACCGGCGAGTTCCTGCGCACGCGCGACGCGCGCGCCGCCTACGACTACGACGTCGAGTCCACCGGCGTCGGCGCGGATCGCAACGCGGTCGACGCGCCGCAGCCGCAGCAGATGGTCATGCCCGGCAGCGCGCGCGCCGCGTCCCCGCGCGCCGTCGCCGCGTCCCGAAACCCCGCCCCCCCGTCCCGCAGAGCTCGACGTCAACAGCGCGACGGTCACCGAGTACAAGCAGTTCGCGGGCATGTACCCGTCAGTGGCGGGCAAGATCGCGTCGCACGGCCCCTACGGCTCCATCGGCGACGTCTACAAGCTCGCGAACTTCTCGCCCACGGAGGCGAAGATCTTCAAGGCGAACCAGAAGGAGTTCACGGTGCTGCCGCCGGGCCGCATGTTCATCGAGCGCATCAACCAGCGCCAGTCGCTCTGAGGCGACACGGACCGTCGCGAGCGCGACGCGCTCCGTGCAGCTCCGCAAGTGCCGTAGAGCTTGTCTTTGTACTAGTGGGGAGGGCGGGAGGGACCGCGCGCGGCGAGGCCGCGGCGCCCGGGGCGGGACGCCGCTCGCGCGACGAGCGCCTTCTCATGCGACGAGCGTCTTCTCCGAGGACCAGACGCCGGCCGTCGCGAACGCGGCAAAGGCGGTGATGTAGTCGCCCTTGCGCGCCGTGAACGTGATCGTCGCCTCCTGCGGGCGCGCGCGCGTCGGCGTCGGCGCGCGCGGGGCGGAGGACACGGGCCGCGCACCTCGCCGGCTTTGATCTCCTTGTAAAAAATGACGGCGCCCTCCCTCTTGGCGTAGACGTACCTGCGGAGAGGCAGCGCTCCACCGTCGCCGTGCCCTCGATCCGCCCTAGGCTCGCCCCGCGTCGTCGTCGATCGGCGGTTTCGGGAGCGTGTCCCCCCACCGTTTCGGGGGGCGGGGCGAGCACGCCACGCGCGCCTCCTCCTCCCCTCACGCGAGGGGTCGGCCCGCTCGATCATCGATCGGGCACGACGCCACGCGCGGTCCCGACGGCCCGCTCGATCATCGATCGGGCACGTCGCCACGCGCGGTCCCGACGACCCGGCGGTTTCGTCCGGCGCGGGCGCGCGCGAGACTTCGTCCTCGGAGCCCGGCACCTTGATGGTCACGGCCGTGCCGTCGCAGTGGATCGTCGGGATGTGGTTGGCGGCCTTGCCAGCGAAGGGGCCCTCGTTGGCCGCGGAGAAGACGCCGTCGGCCTCGCATTTCGCAAGCTTGACCTGCGCGCGCGAGGGAACCGTCGGTCGCGCCGGCGATGTTTCCGTCGGACGCGGGTGTAGGGTACGCAGATCGTCGACTTGGGCGAGAAGGCGAAGGCCGTCGGCGGCGGGTTGAGCCAGGCTTCGAGGTTCGACTCGGGGTAGCCGCAGGCGGTGCCGAGCGTCGACGCCGCCGTGTCCGTGCTGCACATCATGCCGCCTGGTGCCGCCTGGTTCCCGTCCATGACCATGGCGTCGTCGAAGAGCATGGACCCGAGCTGGCCCTGCCCCCCGAGCTGCTCGAACAGCATGGAGCTCATGGGTTCAGAAAAGGGCAGCCTATAGCTATCGCACCCGGTCGTGTTTTACTGCGGCATCGTGCCGTCGTGTTGCCCTTTTTTAAGCGACCGCAGTTCTTCGTCCGCGAGCGGCGCGACGACCTCCCCCCGGAGAGAAGCATCCCAGACATCCACACGAGATCGAATTACCGGACTCCCTACTTCTTCTTCTTGCCGCCGACGTTGAGGCCCGCGGAGAGGAGGTCCGCGAGGTTGTCCTCCTTCTTCGCGGCCTTCTTCTTCTTCACGGGCGCGGCGCCGGTCGCGGCGGCGGCTTTGCCCTACGAACGAGAACCAGTTTCGAGGCGGGACGGTCGAGGCGCGCGGCGGCTCGAGGCGAGCTCGGGCGCGCTCGTCGCGCGCGCGCGGCGCGCCGAGCCCGGCCGCCGCCGGTCGAACGCGCGCGCGCGCGGCGCGCGGACCTAACGCGGGACGCCGGCGCGCCACGTCCGGGTTCGCCGGGTCGAAGCCCTTGAGGGCCGGGAAGCACTTCTCGGGCGTCGCGACCTCCTTGTCGTGCTTGCTCTTGACGTGCAGGAAGAGCCCGGACGGCTTCGTCGAGATCATGAAGGTCTGCAGGCAGATGGCGCATTTATAGCCAGCCTTGTCCTTCTCGGACTTGGCCTTGGACGCGGCGCGCTCCTCGTCCGTCGGGCCCTGCGGCGCGCGCGCGGCGTCGGCGGCGCGCGCGGCGCGGGCGAACTCGCACCTTATCCTTGAGGTTCTTTAGCCGCGCCGCGGCGGACTTCTGCGCGTTGCCTCCGCCCATGGTGTCGACGTTTTAGAGGGTAAGTGCGCGCCTCAGGTGACGGTGCGGCGGCAGTGATCGCCTTATTGACGTCGGCTCTGCGGTGAACAATGGCCTCAACAATCAGTCTTGCCCTGAAGTTTATTTAACTGAAGCTGCCCCGCCGTTCCCGCGTGCTCGATCGGAAGCAATGGCAGCCCTGGAAACGTCCATGACCGGCGCGGCGGCGGCGCCCGCGACGGTGAAGACGCTGGCCCCGAGGAAGCGGGTGAGCCGCTGTCCACGCACGCGCGTCGCATCCCCATCGGTCGTAGGCGTCCCTGAAAGAGAAGGTGGTGGAGGCCAACGACAAGTGGGAGTCCATGCCGTCGAAGCCCAAGCTCACCATCGTCTTCGGCCTCGCGTTGCTCCTCGTCGTGAGCTTCATCACCTACGTCACGGTCTACGCCGCCGACGGCCGCGGCAACGTCGGCAAGGACTCGAACCCGGACACGGTGATCCTGCACGAGGACACGGCGCACGAGGCGGCCTCCACCGGCGTCGAGCCATGCTTTTTCGCGCCGGGACACACAACCCCCGTTTCGTAGGCCTACAAGCAGGCCAAGGAGCTCCGGAAGACCGTCCGCGACGCGTCGTGCTGGCTCTACGCCTTCGAGAAGCGCTTCGGCACGGGCGCCGCGGGCCACGCGGCGGCGCTCGCGGCCGTCGCGGCCTTGCCGGGCTACGACGCCGTCGCGGCCGCCGGCGGCGCGCCGCCGCTGTCCTTCCTGTCCTTCGACGAGGCGACGAACGAGACGATCCTCCAGACGCGCCACACGCGCTGCCAGTTCAACGGCACGGCGAGCGACGGCGCCAACTACACGCTCAACGTCATGCGCAAGCAGGAGGGCGCGGAGGAGGTGCTCCACCTCGCGCGCTACGACGACGACGACGTCGCGATCACGACGCTCCACGCGCACTACTTCGACGGCGCGGGCCGCGGCGTCGCGCGGGATAAGCCCGTCTGCCGGGGCTTCAACGCGACGCACGACCGGGCGTCCTACGTCGCGCGCGCGACGAAACTGGCGTCGGAGCTCGAGGCGCTCGACGGCGTCCGGGGCTACCACTACGGCGACGGCGCCGCGATCGGCACGAAGACCGGCGCGAAGGCGTTGGACGTCTTCGTGGAGGTGGAGACCCTGCGGGCGCTCGAGTGGTCCGACTTCTGCCGGTCCGGCGTCGCGCGCCACGACCGCCTGTCCTACGTCCTGGACCGCTACGTCGCGCGCGACGCGTCGACCGCGCGCGCCGCGGATCGGACCGTCGCGGACCCGGGCGGCGCGGCGCACGCCGTCGCGTCCGCGTCCGGCTGCGACGCGGCCTGCGCGACGTGGGTCGCGGGCGCGGCCAACTACGAGAAGGTCGCCGCGGCGTTCCTCGGCCCGACGACGGCGGCGATGATCGCGTCGGGCGTCGCCGACGACGACGTCATCACGGCCGACGTGCCCGACAGCGGCGCCTACGGCGGCTGCGTCGACGCGGCGGGGCGGCCGGCCTACCTCGTCGGCGACGTGACGACGGCGCCCCTGGTCTACTCGACGGACCCGCCCGTGTCCGCGACGCTGACGCTCCGCGCGGAGACGGGCTACGACCACGACGCGAAGACGCCCTGCGCGTCCGGGTCCGCGTCGGCGTCGGCGAGCGTCTGCTGGCCCGACTTCTTCCACGTGCCCGACGGCGCGCCGGGCCTCGCGTGCACGGCCTTCGAGGTCGTGCCGCTGAGCTCGTGGGTCGCGGTCGACGCCGCGGGCGCGGTCTTCTCGGACCTCATCGAGGTCGGCGCGTGCCAGGACGGCGGCCTCGCGGGCGTCTGGACGGGCTTCGTCGCCCACGAGGCCGTCGCGACCTACGACCTCGGCTGCGGAAACGGCGCGCCGTCGACGGCGGCGGACCGCTTCGCGTTCGCGGAGATCTACGTCGACCTCCACGGGTCGGGCTTCGAGGCCAAGCAGGCGAATGACTTTGGCTGTTCCGCCAACGACCGGGGCGTGCCCCTGGTTTTTTCGTACAACTTCATGGTCGCGGAGAACAACGACTTCCCGCCCGCGACGGCCGCGCGGCTCGCCGTCACGGGCAACGCCTTCTACGTCGACGGCTTCGAGCTCTCCGCGGTCACGGCCCAGGCCTGCAACTACACGGGGCTCGCGACGCCGTCCGCGGCCGACTGCGCCTGGGCCTAGGCGCCCCCCCTTGTTTAACGCCAGTCCCACGCGTCGAACGCGCGGACCGCCGCGGCGTCGCCCGAGTCGACGGCGTCGAGCGCCTTCAGGACGAGGTAGGACCACAGTTCCGCGAGGGCCGGGAAGAAGCAGAAGTGCGTGCAGTCCTGCTTCGACCTGCGGGTCGGGGTCGTCGCGTTTCCTCCGGAAAAGGGACGCGGGCGAAGCCACATGCCGATGTGCGCGTCCCAGAGCGCGTCCGTCGCCGCGCCAAAGGGCAGGAAGCGGATGTTCGTGTAGTTGCCCCGCTCCCACTCGACGCGCGCGATCTTGTTCACGCGGCTGCCCCCGAAGGTCTGGCAGCCGGCGTACTCGGCGCGCATGTGGCTCGGCGCGCAGCGGTAGGAGAACTTGCGGTTGCCCGGCCGCGCGAGGGAGGGCACCGCGCGGTCGAGGCCGCGGTCGCAGCCCTCGTAGTCCGCGAGGCGCTCGAAGGCGAGGCGCGGCGACGTGTAGCCGCCGTTGACCGAGTAGAAGTGCTGGATCGACGAGTCGAGGAAGATGGGCACGAGCCGCGCGCCCCTGGCGTAGACGGCGCCGCCGAGGCGGTCGACGACGGGGAAGAGGCCGCGGAGCGTCCGCGCGTAGAGCTCGGGCTGCGACTCCTCGTGGAGGCCGACGTTGAAGATGTAGACGACGTCGCGGTAGCTCTCGTCGAGGAACTCGACCATCTTCCGCTCGTAGGCGCCGAGGTCGCGGTCCGCCTCGGCCGCGTAGGCGACCTGGCCGAAGAGCGCGTCCGCGTCCGTCCGCCGGAAGTTCAGGAAGCCGCCGCCGGGGGCGAGGCGCTTGAGGTCCTCGTTCCGGTCGAGGAGCAGCGTCTTCATCTCGTTGCTCACGGAGTCGCCGAGGTAGAGCAGCGCGCGGTCGCCGAGCCGCGCGCCGAGCTCGCTCTGCACGCTCCGGTTCGCCGGCAGCCGCTTCGGCCGCGTCCGCAGGCCCAGGCGCCGCCGGAAGGGGAAGTAGAGCCCCGCCTCGTCCATGCTGCAGGCGTAGCCCCGGATGACCGACGGGTGCGCGCCGCAGCGCCGCTGCTCCGACTCGTTCCGCGCGAGCATGTGGCAGCGGTCGTCCTCGTTGGGCCAGTACCTGACGTCGGTCGCGTGGATTGTGACATCGCGCCGTCGGACGCCGGCGGCGCGACAGGTCCCACTCCTCGCGCGTCTCCAGCGGCACCCACTCGAACGCGCAGCCGCGGTCGCGCTCGTCGACCGCGCACGGCGGCGGCGCGCCCGGGGAGAGGACGGGCGGCGGCACCACGGGCGCCGGCGTGGGCCGGGGCCGCGGCGGCGGCGTCGGCCGCGGCGGCAGCGTCTCGTTGCGGCACTGGGGGCAGACGCGCTGCGCCGGGATGCCGTCGTCCGACTCCTTGGCGCACCGGCGCTCCGGGTCCTTGGACACCCAGTTGTTGCAGTTCTTCCAGCCCGAGCGGCTCCAAGTGACGGTGCGCACGCGCGCGAGCCTCGTCGCGACGATGAGCGCGACGATGCGATGCATCATGTGAAGCTCTCCATCGTCATCGATGTTCAATCACGCGATGTTTACCTGCGATAATAAGTGATAATAATGAGAGCATGGTGACGCCGTAGGGTTGCGAACTCGTGATGGCTGCAACTGCGCGCGTCGACAGCATGGCCTGCGAACTTGTGATGGAGACGATGGCTGCGACTGCGCGCGTCGACGATGCGACGACGATGCTTCATGAGGCGGGCAGCCCCGCTGCGACGGTAAGCCCGGGCAGCCCCGCGCCGTGCCGCCACTGGGTGCGCAAGGGCCACTGCCTCATGGGGCCGGCCTGCGCCTTCGCCCACGACCCCGCGGCGCGCCTGGCGGCCCCGCCGCCCGCGCGGCGCCGGGGTCGGCGCGAGAAGCTGCGCGCGTCGAACGCGTCCAAGGCGTCGTCGCTGCGGCGCTTCGTCGTCGAGACGCTCGGCGTCGACGCGCTGCGGTCGGGCTCGGGCGTCGTCGACGTCGCGGGCGGGAAGGGGGAGCTGAGCCTCCAGTTCGCGCGCCTCAACGGCGTCCCGGCGACATGCGTGGACCCGCGGGCGCCGCGCGTCGACCAGTACGCGCGTAAGCTGCGCGAGGGCCGCTACACGACGGCGCGGTCTGCGGCCTGGGCGAGCGCCGCGGTCGTCGACGCGGTCCGCGCGGGCGACGACGCCGCGCTGGCGGCGGAGTACGCGGAGCTCAGCCACATCGCGGCGCGCTGGGAGCCCCTCGACGACGGCGACCTCGGCGACGGCGACGACTTTGGCCTGCCGCCGTGGTGCCGGAGGACGCCCGAGGCCGCGTCCGAGCTCGCGGCGCAGCGCGCTCGGTCGCTGGGCACCGCGTGGACGGCCCGGGGCCTCGTCGCGCGGGACGCCGCGGCCGCCGACGTCGACGCCGCCGGCGTCGCGGAGCTGCGCACGGTCGAGGCGTGCCGCGACGCGCTCGCCAACGCGTCGTGCATCGTCGGCATGCACCCGGACGCCGCTGCCGAGCCCATCGTCGACTTCGCGCTGCGGCGGCGCGTCCCGTGCTTCGTCGTGCCGTGCTGCGCGCGCCGCCGGCGTCCCGCGGCCGGCAAAGATCGCCTGAGACCCTTCGGTAGGTCTACGCGGACCTCTTCCCGCGGCGGCGGCACGTGTCCACGCACGAGGACCTCGTCGCGCACCTCGCCGCGAAGGACCCGGCGACGCGGACGGTGACGCTCGACGGCTTCGACGGGAAGAACGCGCTCGTCTACTGGGTGCCGCCATCTATAGACACTTAGTATTAGAGTACCGGTCTACTAGCCGCGCTTCCGCTTGCACTTGAGCTTGACCTTGAGTTCGCCCTTGTTCGGCCCGATGGCCTTGTAGAGCGGCGGCTTCTCCTCGGGCCCGCCGATGAGCTTCATGAACGCGCGGTCGGAGATCTGCGTGTAGTCCTGCTTCTTCTTCGCGCGGCGGCCGCCGGCCTCCTCCTCCTCGGCGGCCTTGGCGGCCCTGGCGTCGCGGGCCTCGTCCAGCGCGGCGCCCTCCGCGGCGCTGTTCGCGCCCGCGCGGACCCACGGGGGCACCTCGTCGTCGCGCATCGCGGGCAGCGCCGCGCCGGCCGCGGCGCGGCGCGCGTCGACGGCGGCGTAGAGCTCGTACTCGCCGTCGTCGATGGCCATGGTCTCGGCGAGGCTGTCGTGCTCCTTGGCACCGTCGTCGTCGCCGTCGCCGTCGCCGCCGCGGTCGCCGGACGGGTCGTACTCGCGGAGGAGCTCCTCGACCATGGCCTTGCGCTCGTCGGCCTTGGAGTCGCGACTGAACTTGCCCGCCTCGACGATCAGGTTGTTCATGTTGAGCTTGTCCGTCGCGCGCTGGAGGATGCGCTCCTCGACGGGCGACGTGGAGATCAACCGGAAGACGCGGACGTCGTTCTTCTGGCCGATGCGGTGCGCGCGGTCCTGCGCCTGCGCGTCCATCATGGGGTTCCAGTCGCTGTCGAAGATGACGACCGTGTCCGCCGACGCCAGGTTCAGGCCCAGCCCCCCCGCGCGCGTCGACAGCAGGAAGACGAAGGCCGGGCTCGACGGGTCGTTGAACCGCGCCATGCGGCGCTCGCGCTCGTCCGCGGCCGTCGACCCGTCGAGCCGCAGGTAGTCGTAGTCCCGCAGGGCGAAGAAGTCCTCGAGCAGGTCCATCAGCGCCGTCATCTGGCTGAAGAGCAGCACGCGGTGGCCCGCGGCCTTGAGCTTGGGCAGCATGGAGTCCAAAAGCAGGAACTTGCCCGACGACCGCACGAGCGACTCGTCGACGCGCCACGCGTCCGTGCGGAAGAGGAAGGGGTGGTTGCAGCACTTGCGCAGCTGCATGAGCACGTTGTTCAGGCCCCGGGCCACGGGCGGCGGCGACCCGCGGCCGCCCGGCGACGCCGCGTCGTCGCGCTTCTTCTTCGGCCGGCCGCGGCCGGGTTTGTCGGCCGCGGCGGGCGACGCCGCGTCGTCCGCGGCCTGGACCGCGGACCCGTTGGCCTCGACGGCGGCGGCGCCCGACGACCGGATCTGCTCGTAGACGACCTTCTGCCAGGCCGTGAGGTCGCAGCGCAGCACCTTCTCGACCTTTTCGGGTAGTTGGCCGAGCACGGCGGACTTGACGCGCCGCAGCACGAAGGGCCGGAGCACCTCGTGGAGGCGGTGGATGACGAGCATGCGCTCCTCGTGGGCCAGGGCGCAGGACTCCTCCTTGTCGACGTTCGCCTGGGGCGCGCCGGAGAACTGGGAGAAGGGCTTGTTGAACCAGCCCTCGAACGTGTCGACGGACGAGAAGATCGACGGCAGGAGGAAATTCAACAGCGCCCAGAGCTCGGGCAGCGAGTTCTGCAACGGCGTGCCCGTCAGCAGCAGGCGCCGCTTCGCGCTGTAGAGGTTGCCGAGCGTCTGCGCGAACTTGGAGTTCGCGTTCTTCATGCGGTGGCCCTCGTCGACGACGATGTACTCCCACTCGACGCGCCGGAGCACGGCGCGGTCGCGCATGACGTACTCGTAGGTCGTCAGCAGCACGTTGAGCTGGCGCGAGCCCTGGCGGCCCTCGCCCGGGGCGGGCCGGCGCCGCCGGCCGCCCTTGGTCGTCGCCTCGCCGAGCGCCGCGAGCTCGCGCTGCGCCTCCTTGCGCGCCGCCGGCGGGCCCTTGTACGTGAGCACGGTCATGCCCGGCGCCCACTTGGCGAACTCGTGGCTCCAGTTCGACAGGGTCGACAGGGGCGCCACGACGAGGAACGGGCCCGGGTTGCCCTTCTCCAGCAGGTGCGCCAAGAGCGCGATGGACTGGATCGTCTTGCCGAGGCCCATCTCGTCCGCGAGGATGCCGTTGAGCCGGTTGTTGTAGAGGCTCACCATCCACGTGAGCCCCGCGAGCTGGTACTCCTTGAGCTGCCCCCCCACGAGCATCTTCGGCTGGCGCACCTCCTCGGACGTCGCGTGCGTCGTCTTGTAGTACTCCGCCGTCGCGTTCCGCCGCTGCTCGTCCGCGTCGAGCGCGTACGACTCGTCCCGGGGCTTCTCCGCGGGCCGCGTCGCCGCGCGGACCGCCTCGCCGGACTCCTTGGCCTCCTTCGCCGCCTTGCGCGCCTCCGCGTCGACCTCCGCGTCCCGCAGCAGGCCCACCTGGTCCGTGATGTTCCGGATGTACGAGTCCGTCTGCTCGAGCAGGTACTTGAGCCGCTTGTTCTTCGTCTCCTCGACGAGCTGCGTGTAGGCGGCCATGTCGTTGGCGCGGAGCGCCTGGAGCCGCCGCCGCGCGGTCCGCGACTCCTCGACCTCGATGCGGTGCGTGTCGAGCTCGAGCTTCGCCTTGCAGCCGCGCGCGCGCCGCGCGGCCTCGGCGCGCCGCGCGCGGCCCGCCTTCATGACGTCGTCGCGCCGCGCGACGAGCTCGCGGCCGAAGCGGCCCTGCTTGCGCCGCCGCCACTCCTCGTGGTCCACGCGCCGCTTGCGCTCCTCGCGCTCGAGTGCGCGCGACTCGCGGCACTTGCCGATGGCCTTGAACGGCGCGAGGTACGACGCGTGGTCCAGGACCTCGTCGTCGGGGCAGAACGCGTACCAGCTCGGCCCGTGGCTCGGCGGCTTCGGCGCCGCGGGGGGCGACCCGACCAAGGGTTGGGACAGCGCCTCGTGTTGTCTTCGAAGCTCCGCGAGCTGCGCTTTCTCGAGGACCGCGACGTCGCCGGCGGACACCGCGGGCGCGGGCGCCGCCGGCGCGTCGGCGGCGCCGTTCGTCGCCTCGTGCTCCTCGATCTCATTCGCCCGGGGGAGGCGCTCGATGCGCAAGGGGTTCTCCGTGCCCGTGAAGGGCTGGTCCGCGCGCGTGAGGAGGTAGAGCGGCTTGCTCGTGTAGCGGAGCTGCTCCGCCATGGGAGGGGGCGCGGGGTTGCGTTCAGTGGTTGGTTGGGGTTGCAATGGGTTGTTTTTAAGCGTCTATATTCAAAGTTTCGGACTTTAAAGGATCATGCGCTTCATCGAATTCACGCAGCCATGCGTCGCGCGCGGGCGACTAGGAGTACGTTTCGCCTAGCGTATGTTCAAGCTCGCATCCACTGGCGCTTTCCGTACGACGTCTCCCTCAGCGCGCCGGTTTCGAAGGCCGCCTGCCGACACCCACCCGGCTGTCTCGTTAGTTCGGGTTCGCGATGCCGCCGTCGCGGTACGCGTCCGGGTTGACGATGGCGCCCGGCGCGTGGTCGAGGCCCTCGCGCGCGCGGAGTTGCTCGAGGCCGTGGCCGACGGCGGCCTCGACGCCGGCGTCGTCGTCGCCGTCGACGAGGCGGTCCGGCGGGTCCGGGCGCTCGAGCTTGAGCTTGGCGTAGCGCTCCTGGGAGAAGCCGTTGCCGCTGTAGATCCAGGTCTCGAACGCGCGGAACGTCTCGCGGACGGGCGCGTCGTCCGCCTGGGCAGCAAAAGGGTGATTCAAGTTCGCTTCAACATGAGTGTTCCGCGCGCGCGCGTTCCGGAAAAAGCATCCACGCTTCGAGACCGTTCCGAGAGATGATCGCTCGTCCAAAAATCAGCCGAAACGAGTGGAAAATGGCCGAGATAGGAGCCTTTGAAGTTGGGAATGTCGCTCTCTTTTGCTGCCCTGTCGTCCGCCGCCGGGTCGCGGCCGCCGGCGACGAGCGCGAGCTGCGTCTCCCAGATGAAGAGCCCGCCCTCGAGATGGGACACGCACGGTGCGTCGGACCGCTGGCGGATGGGCTGGACCGCGTTGCGGCCGCGGTAGAGCGTGTCGCGGATCAGCGGGATCGCCTCGTCGACGCCGCGCTTCAGCGGCGACCCCGCCCGCGTGAACGCGGCCACGTCCACGGCCGTGTGGCAGAAGCTCCGGCTGCAGTTCTCGCCGTGCTGGTTGTGGATGCAGATGCCCTCGCGGTCCGCGTGGAACGCGACCGGCACGCCGACGCGGTTCAGCTCGGCGAGGATCGCCTGGTCCTCGCCCCAGTTCGTGTCGACGAAGGTGAACGCGGGGAACAGGGACTTCTCGTAGACGAAGCTGAAGCCGTAGGTCAACAAAAACTGGCTCGACAGCTTCGCGAGGTTCGGGTGCAGGCGGAGCCTCGCGCCGAGCTCGGTCCGCGCGTCGAAGCCGTCGATATCAAAATGGCCCCAGGCGCCCGAGCCCATGTCGTGGACGAACCAGGCGCTGAGCTTGACGAACTTGGCGTCCTGCGCCGCCATGGCGCCGAGCATGGTCGCGAGGTAGGTCGGCGCGTAGACGTCGTCGTCGTCGAAGTGCGCGACGACGTCGCCGGTCGCCAACCGGAGCGCGACGTTGCGCTTGCCGCCGATGGTCGCGTGGTGGACGGCGTGGGTGTAGATCACGCGGTTGTCCTCTTTGCCCGGCGAGCCGGGCGTCGTGAAGAAGGGCGACGGCGCCGGGCCCGTGTCGACGACGACGAGCTCGCGGTTGTCGTGCGTCTGCGCGGCGAAGCTCGCGTAGAGCGCGGCGCCGTGGAAGGCGTGGCGCTCCGTCGTCGTCGGCGCGATGCAGCTCACGCGGCAGTCCGTCGTCGCGGCGACGGTCCGCGTCCGCGCCTTTCGCGCGTTCGCCTCCGCGGCCGTCGCGCCGCGGCGCGCGGCCGCGCCGGCCTCGAGCTCGTCCGCGCGCCGCGCGACCGCGGCCCACCTGGGCCGGCCGGGTCCGAGGTCGCCGTGGTCGCGCTTCGCCGAGGCCAGGTCGCCGAGCGCCAGCGAGCCCAGCGCGCGGCGGTAGCGCGCCTTGTCCGCGAGGCGCCGCGCCTCGCCCGTCGTGGCGTCGCCCGCGAGAGCGAGCGCGGCCGTGCAGTCGTTGACGGCCGCGGCGAAGTCGCCGAGCTCCAGCGACGCGGCCGCGCGGTTCGAGAGCACGGCCGCGCGCGCCGCGTCGTCGGCCGCGGCCTCGAGCGCGCGGTCGTACGCGCCGCGCGCGTCCCCGAAGCGTTTCGCGGCGAAGTGGCCGTTGCCCGCCGCGCGGTGCGGCTCCACGGCGAAGGACGCCGGCGCCGCGGCGGGCGCCGTCGTCGCCGCGGCCGCCGCCGCCGCCGCCGCGCCGCCGAAGTGCGCCCAGGCCGTCGTCGCCGCACTCTCGCGCTCGAGCGCCGCGGGCGGGCCGAACTCGTCCCAGTCGCGCGCGAGCGGGCTCCGCGACGCCGGCGCGGGCGGCGGCTCGTAGGCCACGTCGACCTTGGGCTTCGGCGGTCGCGGGCTGCCCAGCTTCTTCTTGTTGCCGTTGGCCCCGCCGCCCGCGGCGCGCGGCTTTGCTTCCGCGTCCCTCGGCGGCCGCGGCGGCTTCGACGCGAGCGCGAGGCGCAGCACGTCGCCCGCGCGGAGGGCGTCGGCGACTGCCGCCGCCGGGTCGCAGGGGACGGCGCCGCGCGCCGTCTGGCGGCAGAGCACGAGGGCCGCGCCGGCCGGGAAGCCGCCGGGCCGCCGCTTCTCCGCCTGCTGCCGCAGGACCTCCAGGACGTCGCCGCACGTCTTGCTACGCGTCTGCTTGTCCGTGAGCTTCAGCCGCAGCGGCAGGCTGCCGCCTTCGCCGAACTCCGCCAAGCACATGACCTCCATGGCGGCGGCGGCGAGCGGAAGTCGACTAGCTCGAAGCAGCCCCCATGCCGCGCGGGCCCGAGATGCCGTCGTGATGATCGTGATGCACCAGCTGAAGCTAACCTGCGCATCGGCCACCGCTAGAGTGAGAGTTAAATTAAGAGAATGGTCAGATTAAGAGAACACGGCTTTGGCCGGCGCATGCCTCCTGACACCTCTACCGCCGCGCGCGCGCGCGTCATATGCGCTGAAATTTTCAAAATATCTTCGACTCAGCTTCGTTAGAAAAGCTCAAATCCGAAGAGTTTTCGTAATTCTCTTAATCTAACCCATCTCACAGCTATGGCTCCGGCGCCGTGAGCGCGCGCATAGACGCAGCGGTCCAACGATGTCCGTTTTGGACGCGCCGATTTTTGTCAGTTGTCTCCGCCGCCCGAGCTGTCCGCCGGCGGCCTGCCGCGCGTGTTTACGGCGCCGGAATGGTCGGTTTAATTTTGCCCCGCTTAGCTTGCTCTTAATCTAACTTTCACGCTAGAAGCAAATCCATCTCTCGAATATGGTGCGTCCAGGCAGCGTCGTCGCAGCCGTGTGCGCCGGCGCCGGCGTCGCGCTGTACGTCCTGTACCGGCGGCGGCGGCCGAAACCGGGCACGAAGAAGCGCAGCCTCGAGGAAGACGCCGACGGCTCGAGGAAGCGCACGCGCAGCTCGGACGACGCCGGCGGCGGCATCGTCGTCCTCGGCGACGCCTTCGTCGACGTGCTCGTCTGCGGCCTCGCGGAGCTGCCGCGGTGGAACGCGGACGTGCTCGCGCCGACGCCGATCACGATGCAGGCGGGCGGCTCCGCGCTGAACACGGCCGTGCACCTCGCGGGCGTCGCGGGCGGCGTCGCGCTGCACACGGCGCTCGCCGACGACGAGTTCGGCGCCTTCCTCGCGCGGTCCGCGCGGAGCCGCGGCGTCGCGCTCTTCGCGGCGGCGGGCCTCCCGGGCGGCACGGGCGCGTGCGTCGTGCTCAGCGGCGAGGACCGGGGCTTCGCGACGCACCGGGGCGTCGTCGACGTCGCGACGGCGGCGGACCTGGGGGCCGAAAAAGCCGTGGCGCGCGCCCGGGACGGGGGCCACGTCCACCTCGCGGGCTACTACAACTGCACGGCGCTCCGCGGCGGCGCGGCGGCGCTGTTCCGGTCCGCGCGCGCCGCGGGCGCCGCGACGTCGCTCGGCGCGCAGCACGACGCGACGGGCGCGTGGGACGGCATCGGCACGGCGGAGCTCGCCGGCGACGACGGGCCCGACTACCTCATCCTCTCGGAGGACGAGGCCCGGGCCGTCGTCGCGGCGCGGCGCGCGCCGTCCGCGGGCGGCGCGGAGGCCGACGCGCGCGCGCTCCTGGACCTGAAAGCCGCGCGCTGCTGCGTCGTCACGCTCGGCCCGCGCGGCGCGCTCGCCGTCGTACCGCGGGCCGACGGCGCGATCGTCGTCGCGCGCTCGCCGCGCGCCGACGTCGCCGTCGCGGACCCCACTGGCGCGGGCGACGCGTTCGCGGCCGGCTTCGTCGCGGGCCTCGAGCAGAGGAGCCTGCGCTACGCGCTCTGCCTGGGCTGCGCCTGCGGCGCCGCCTGCGTCGCGAACGTCGGCGCGTCCGCGCCCCTCGACGGCGGCCGGAGGGACGCCGCGCTCGCGGCGTGCCTGTCGCGCGCGCCGCCGGACGACGCGTTCCTCTCCTAGTTGACTGTGTTTTTACGGGCCGCCGGCGCCGTAGGGGTCGCGGCCGGCGTAGGGCGCGTCGGCCGTGGGCTGGTTCTGGCTGCCGCTGTGCTTGGCGATGAGGTCCTTGTGGGAGCCGACGAGGGACCAGCCGTCGAAGGGCGGTACCTGGAGCAGGTCGAAGAGGTCCGCGTTGTGGGCCTGGAAGAAGACGATGAGCCCCGCGTTGAGGCGCTCGGGGATGGGCGTGTCGTAGGACTTCTCGCCGTCGAGGCTCCAGCCGATGGACTCGTCGAAGTGGTCGAAGGTCTCGGCGATGGACTTGGCGAGGAGCGGCGAGCCCGGCGCGAGGAGCTCGGGCGCGTAGGCGAAGGACGGCAGGCCGACGTGCTTGTGGACCTTCCTGAGGGCGTCCTTGGGCCGGTGCCGGAGCTCGGCCTGGTCCAGCACGAGGATGGACTCGGGCGGGACGCCGTGGTGGAGGAAGTTCGCGCGGAGCTGCGTCGAGTAGAGGGAGCGGTAGACGTACATGGACTGGATGCCGCCGTTGATCTTGCCCTCGCCGATGCAGTCCTCGACGAAGGCGTGGGCCGCGGCGTTGCTCTTGGCCACGGCCGTGTAGGAGCCGAGCGTCTCCTTGGCGCACTTCTGGAGCGCCGCGGCCTCGTGAAACATCGCGTCCTTTGGGGGCAGGCGCTCGAGGGGCGGCAGGCACTTGGACGTGAGCACGACGCGCTGCCTCGGGTCGAGCCTGGCGCGCCTCGCCGCCGGCGGCGGCGGGAAGCAGTGGATGACGAGCGCGGCGAGCGGCGGCGGCGGCGGCCTCGGCGCGTCCGCGGCGCGCGGCGGTTTCGCGAGGTCCGGCGCGCCGAAGAAGCGGCGCTTCACGAGGTCCGTGAAGGCGGCCCAGGCGTCGGCGTCGCTGGCCTGGAGCAGGACCTTGGACGCGGCGGGCTCGCTGTCGATGCACGCCTCGAAGTGCGCCACGAACGCCGCGCGCGTCTCCGGCGCCGCGCGCGCCGCGCAGAAGAGCAGGCGCGGCGCGATGAGCGCCAGGCCCGCCCGCAGGTTCCGCGGCGCGCCCTCCGGCGCGCAGGCGGGCGACCGGGCGTGGTAGACGAGGTTCGCGCCGCGGCTCAGCGGCGCGAAGCACTCGAGGAGGAACGACGCGAACGCGCCGACGGCCGCGAGGTCCGCCCCCCGCCCGGACGGCTCGTCGTCCTCCGTCGCCGCGTCCGGGTCGCCGCAGGCGCCGCAGGTCGCCAGGCAGGCGTCGGCGGCGGCGACGCCGTCCGCGCCGCGCGCCGCGCAGAACGCGTCCGGGTCCGCCGCGACCTCCCGGCACCCGCGGAACGCGCGGCCCTCGCCCGCGCCGTTCCAGGCCTCGTCGTCGACGCAGGCGACGTGGGTCTCGTTGGGCCGGACGGCCATGGCCGCCTGGAACTTCATTCGAAGCATGCCGAAGCGGCCGTCCGCGCGGAGCGCGCTCGCGTTGCGCGTCGCGAGGCAGTCGCCGAGGCTCCGGCCTGGGCAGGACAAGAGAGATTCAACGTCGCTTCAACGTGAGTGTTTCGCGCGCGCGCGTTCCGGAAAAGCATCCACGCTTCGAAGCCGTTCCGATAGATGATCGCTCGTCCAAAAATCAGCCGAAACGAGTGGAAAACGGCCGAGATATGAGCCTTTGAAGTTGGGAATTTCGCTCTCTTGTCCTGCCCTGGCTCCGGCCGCGGAGCTCCTGGGCGACGCAGACGAGCATGTCCGTCGTGTGGGCGTAGGCGTCCATCAGAAAGCCGCGCTGGAGCTGGATGCGCCGGTACTCCATCTCGAACTCGCTGTACGCGCGCGCGGCGGGCTCGCGGAGCACCGCGACGAGCCGGCTCCGCGACGGCAGCTGCCTCGCCATGTTGTAGCCCGCGTGGGGGCTCGCCAGGTAGAACGGCGTCGCCTCCGCCGTGACGAAGTCCGGCGCGCGGTCCGGGACCGTCGAGGCGGCGTCGCCCGCGAAGCCCCGGAGGTAGCTCGCGGTGCCCCGGCAGTTCCGCTGCGGCGAGTCGAAGTAGTGCACCTCCTTGCGGCGGGCGAAGCGCACGTCGGGGCCGGTCGCGAGGTAGCCCGCGAGGGCCGTGGACCCGGACTTCTGGGCGCCGAAGATGACGAGCGTCGGCATGCAGACCGTGCCGTTGAGCCCGTAGCTCAGGCGCACGTCGCCGCCGCGCTTGCCCGCGCGCGTGCCGTTGAAGCCCGCGGCGTCCGCGGCGCAGCACGTCTGGTGGTACGTGCCCATGTTCCCCTTGCAGGTCGCGCCCCGGAGCGTCGGCTTGCCGGCGGCGTCGAGGCTCAGGCGCGGCAGCGACCGCACCATGGCGCTGCTCCGCCCGCGGCCCACGCTGCAAAAGGGCAGCACGTGCCGCGGGCCGCCGCGCGTCGCGTTCTTCGGCAGCCGCTTCCGTTGCTGGCTATTGCCGTCCGCGACGGCTACCGCCAGCAAAAGCCACCACGCGCGCACTGACAGGGCTGCCATCGCGAAATAATTTGAGTCGATTTGAAGCGACGGTGAAGCCGCCACGGCGTTCTTAAAAAACACCTCTTCTAGTAGCCCCCGCCCCTCAGCAGTGCTCGCCCTGCTTGCCCTCGCGACGGTAAAAAATACGCCCGGTTTACCCCCGCCCCTTCTTGCCCTTCTTGCCCTTCTTCTTGGGCTCCGGCGGCGCGGCGTCGGCGCCGGGCTCGCCGGGCGCCGCGCGGAGCGCGAGGCGCCGGAGCTCCGGCGCGACCTTCGCCGGCGCGTCGGCCCACTCGTGTCGGAGCACGGCGTCGAGGGCTTCCTCGCCGCCGAGGAGGCCGATGAGCTCCTTGGGCCGGTCCACGGACCAGCCGCAGCCCTCCATGAGGACCTCGACGACGAAGACGTAGCGGTGGACGAGCTTGAGCGCGCGGTCGCGCCACGCGGCCGCGCCCTCGCCGCCGGCGAGGGACCGCACGTAGCAGAGCTCGCCGGCGTAGGCGAGGCCCAGGAGGTGCGTCGTGCCGTAGACGCCGAAGTCGACGGCGCTCCGCGCGCGCGCCTTCGGCACGGACCCGGCGAACGCGTCGCCGCCGCGCGCGTCGAGCATGGCGCAGAGCGCCGCGACGCCGGCCTCGAGCTCCGGCGCGAGGTCCCGCGCGAGCGCGGCCAACGCCTCGGGCGCCGGCGACGCGTCCTTGGGGCCGAGGCCGCACCTTACCGTCGCGACGTAGTACCGTAAAGCGCCGCGGCGCCAGTTGAGGCTCTCCCAGAGGTCCACCGTGAGCGCGCCGGACTCGGGCGCCGGCGCCTCGCCGACGACCTCGTCGAAGGTCGCCGAGCCGTCCGCGAGCGCGGCCTCCAGCAGCTTCTTCGCCTCGCGCTCGTCGACGGCGCCGCCGCCGGCGGCCGCGGGCTCGCCGCCGCGCGGGCCGGGCCCCGGCGCCGTGGGGACGCCGAGGGCGGGCACGAGGTGGCGCCCGGCCCAGGCCGCGGCGGCGTCGTAGCAGGCCGCGAGGTCCCGCGCGACCGCGCCGTCGCCAGGCCCCGCGAACCGCGATCGCGACGCGCGCTTCTCGAGCGGGTACGTCGTCTCGAGCATGCCCCGCACCCACTCGCGCGCCATCGTGCGCAGGTCCTCGCGCTTCGTCGCCGGGAATTTCAACGCGATGACGCCGTGCAGCATCTTGCCGCGCTTCATGCGCTTCAGGCCGTCGTCGTCGAGGCCCTCGAGGGCGAAGCCGTCGCAGGACGACAGCACGGCCGCGAAGGCGTCGATGGCGCGCCTCTCCGCGGCGCGCTCGTCGTCCGCCACGGTCAAGGCGTCGTCGTCGTCCACCGCGGGCGCGGCGGCCTCCGATGCGGCTGCCATCTCGGCCATGCTTTCGCCTCAGCGATTTTTTTTTTTGGGGAAACTCCTCTTCAAGAACGCGACTAAGCAGCCCCTCCAGGTCACATGGCCGCGCGGCGGACGGAGCTGAACCCGCGGCTGTCGACCGAGACCCCGCTGCTCGAGGATGCGCGGAGCGCGTTCACGGACAACTCGGCGACCGACGAGCGCGAGGACGAGCTGTGCTCCTTCTCCTGCGGCGCTCTCTGCCGCTGCTTCGGCCTGTGCTGGGTCGCCGACGCGGAGAAGCACGACGCCATGGAGGCGAACAAGATGATCGGCCGGCTCGGCGTCTGGCTCGCGGCGAACACGTTCCTCTTCGCGTGCCAGCGCGTCGCGGTCGCGTGCGGCCTGCCCTACGACGGGCACAAGGGCTGGAAGAACGCGCGCTGGAGCCTCACGGCGCTGAACCACCTGTGCCTGTACGCGTCGGGCGCGGCGGTCTTCGCCCACGCGTTGACGCCCCGGCGCGCGGGGCGGCTCTTCGGGAAGCCGGCGAACTGCGCGGCGTTCCTCGGCGTCGCGCTCGGCGTCGGCGTGCTGTTCTCCATCGTGTCCGACATCTCGTCGCTGCGCACGTCGATCTCGGAAGACGGGTCCTACGACGCGTCCTTCGTGGCGCTGCTCGTCATCCTCGGCGCCATCGTGCTCGCGGCGTTCGCGTTCCAGATCTGGCTCGCGCGCCGGCACGGCGGCGTCGTCCCCTACCTCGCGCCGCGGATCGCGCTCGTCGTCCTCTACGTGGCCTACTCCTGGGTCCTCGTCAGCGTCGAGCGACAGGAGTGTTTTTTCGCGTGAATTTCGCCTGAAGATGTGAAGAAATCCGACCCCGTCGCACTTGGTAGGTCCTCGTCGCGAACGGCGACAGCTGGGAGTTCCACCACTACTGGCTCGCGTGGATCGCCAGTCTTTTTTGCCCCTTCGACCACCCGGCGTCCGTCTTCTGCCTCGCCGCGACGACGGGCATCTTCTGCCAGGGCGTCGCGGCCTACGGGGCGGCGGAGATCTTCACGAAGGGGTCCTCCTAACGCGCCCGTTACATGCCCGACGGCGTCAGGAAGACGCCCTTGCGCCGCGAGTTGACGAGCTTGAGGCGCTCGCGCTCCGCGGCGGCGTGCGCCTCGATGTCCGCGTCGCGCTCGGCCTCCGCGCGGCGCTCCGTGCGCGAGAGCGCGTGGAGGCGCAGGGGCCGCGCGCGGAGCGACGTCATGGCCGCCTCGCGCGCGCGGAGCAGGTCCGTCGACGCCGGCGACGACCGGAGGCCGAGCACGAACGCGCCGACGGCGGCCTCGAAGTTGCCGAGCTCGAACTCGGCGACGCCGCGGCGGTAGTGGGCGACGGCGGACGTCGGCGCGAGCTCGCAGGCCCGCGACGCGTCGGCCCGCGCGCGCTCGTGCTCGCCCGCGGCGCTGAGCAGCGTCGCGCGGCGCACGAGCGTCTCGGGCCGCTCCGCGCCGACGATGCGCTCGCGCTCGGCCATGTCCGTGTAGCGCGCGAGGAGCCGCCGCAGGTCGTCGCCGCCGAGGGACCGCATGCTCTCGCGGCTCAGCGACTCGGGGCCCCGCAGCCGCTCGCCCGCCGTCTGCGTCCGCGCCGCGCCGCCGGCCGCCGCCTCCGTGAGCACGGGCAGCTCGCTCCGCGGGCTCGTCACCTCGCGCTCCGGCCCCAGGGGCGTGCGCGTCGCGAGCCAGTAGCGCGGCCGCCAGCGCGGGCTGTAGTTGCAGCACTGCGTCTTCTGCGTGCCCCGGTCGCGCCAGCAGTTGCAGACGCCCATGCAGGGCAGCGCGATCTTGTTGTCCGTCAGGTCGTCCGTGTAGTTCTCCGACAGGTAGATCTTGATGCCCTCGCCCGACATGGCGGTGGGTGCGCGGGCGGCGGCGGGCCCGCGCGCGCGCGCCGCGGGGCTGCCCCGAGATGCCCCAGGCGGCGTCTAGCGCGCTCGATGCGTGGGGGAAAGGAGCCGATGGTGCCTCTTGCTCTGCGAAACGCAATGCTTCGTTAGTTTTTGGAGGCAGCCCACACACTGGGCTAGTACCGAGGCAGCGCCACACACCGGGCTGCTACACATGGCGCTGACGGCAGAGGCGCTGCGGGCGCTGGGCGAGGAGACGGGCGCCATTATCGAGAAGGAGCTCGACGACTGGGAGACGGCGTCGTCGTCCGCCTACGAGATTCTAAACACAGTAAAAAAAGGAGACTGCACCGAACTAAAATCCTTCGCCGCGCCGCCGCAGCTCGTCAAGGACGTGCTACGGGCGGTGCTCATCGTCTTCCGCGAGCGCGACGCGGACTCGTGGCGCGCCGCGAAGAAGATGCTCGGGCACCAGCATTTCCTCCGGATGCTCAAGGAGTTCGATCCGTCCACCATCGACGCGACGATGGTGAGGACGCTGCGGCCGCTCGTCGGCGAGTTCTCCGACGACCGGACGCGCAAAATCTCCAAGGCCGTCGCCGGCATGGCGGCGTTCGTCCGCGCGGTCTACGAGTACGGCCGCGACCGCGTCGGATCGTAAAAACCCCGAGAGCATCACATCCCCTTGTTATACCGCAGAATCGTCCCGTCCGGGAAGTTCGATGCGATGTGGGGCTCGAGGTCCGCGGCGGGCACGGCGACGACGGGCGGGTAGAGCGCGAGGGACCCCGGGACGCAGAGCGCGAAGCAGGCCACGGTCGTCGCGAGCTGTGTCGGCAGCGCGAGCCAGGGCCGCCGCGCCACGGCGCGGCCGAGCGGCGTGCCCCGCTCGAGCGCGAGGTACGCGAGCGGCGTGAGGATGAAGTTGCCCGCGGGCAGCGCGAGCCGCGTCACGCACGTGTCGAAGACGGCGCTCCGGGCCGCGACGTGGGACACGCCGACGACGGTCCCCCGGTCGTCGAAGACCTCGACGCCGTCCTCGAGCTCCTGGAACCGCATGACGACGGTGTTGACCATGTTCGCGCCCGCGGCCGCGGGGTACGGCGCGAAGATGCCCAGGCCCGCCAGCGCGGGGAAGCGCACGACGACGCGCTTCCACGCCAGGAAGACGCCGATGGCGCTGCCGATGGCCGCGCAGTACGCGGTCCCCAGGCGCCAGAGCGGCGCGGGCTTGCCCGGCGGCCGGTTAAAGTACGAGACGCTCGCGAGGTGGCTCTGGTTCAGCCAGTGGCCCGCGGCGAAGAGGGGCAGCGACGTCGGCGCGTACTTGGCCGTGAGGATCAGCGCCGACACGGGCACGGACCCGAAGCACGCCCAGCCGCCGACGCGGCACGGCTCGGGGATCGGCGCGCCGTCGGCCGTCGTCTTCGCGTGCAGCGCGCGCGCCGCGCGCCAGAGGTCGGCGTCGCCGTGCTTCGGCGCGCCCTCGCGCAGCGTCGCGCGCGCGTCGTCGAGGTCCGCCGCGCCGAAGAAGAGGTGGTCGGGGGACGTGATGTCGAGGAAAAAGAGGAGGCGCCCGCCGAAGGACGCCATGTCGTAGCGCTCCATGTAGTGCGCGCCGGGCGCGTAGGCCGGGTCCGGCCCGCGCAGCGACGCGAAGCGAGCCGCGAGGGTGTCGGCCCACGACGAAACCATGGCCTCTTTTGGAGATGCCATTCGCCTCGCCCAATTCAATTTTGTGGTAATTGAAGGTAAACATAGACTCCGACAGCTGAAAAAAACCTGTCACAAACGAAGCGAAGCGGACGTCGAATAAGAAGAAAGCGCAGTCGTCAAAGAAGGGTTGAGGAAAAAGGGCGGTTTAAGCGCGCCCCCGGACGCGCCGCGCGATGGGCAGCTGGTTTGAGCGGACGATCCCGGGGCGCGGCGCGGCGGCCGCGCGCCGGCGGTGGCGCCTAGGAGATGGCGCAGCCCGTCTCGCTGCAGGAGCCGTTGGGCCCCGCGCAGAGGGGGAGGGGGTCGACGCCCTTGTCCTTTTCGGCGTCGATCTGCTCGAGGAAGTTGATGACGTCTTCTTTGCCCGCGCGGCGCGCGACCTCGAGGGGCGTGCGGCCGCTGCCGTCCACGGCGCGCGAGTCGAGTTCGACCTCGACGACGAGGTAGGTCACGACGTCCAGGTGGCCCCGGTAGCAGGCCATGTGGAAGGGCGAGATGCCGTTCTTGCCCGTGTTCGTCTCCGCGCCGTTGCGGACCAGGAACTTGACGACGTCGAGGTTCCCCTCCTGGCAGGCGAAGAAGAAGGGCGTCGAGCCCTTCTTGTTCACGGGCGCGATGTTGACGCCGTGCTGGAGCAGCGCCTCCGCGATGTCGAGCCGTCGATGCTGCGCGGCGATCGCGAACGGCGTGTTGCCGTTCGCGTTCGGCCGCTCCAGGTTCACCATCTGCGAGCAGAGGAAGCGCACGATGTCCATGTTCCCCCGGTAGCAGGCGATGAAGATCGGCGTCGCGCCGTCGTGGATCGGGATCTCCATGTCCGCGCCGAGCGACGCCAGGTACTTGACGACCTGCGGCGCCGCGGAAAATATTTGTGGAAAAAGAAAAACGGGCGGACGCGGGCGGGGGACATCGAGATGCGAGTTCTGCACGGCGGCGGCGAACGCCGTCCCGCCGTGGATGACGCGATTCAGGTCCAGGTTCGGCGTCTCCTTGACGATGCGCTGCACCTCCTCCAAATTACCATCGAAACATGCCGTGTAGAACTTGAGCGCCTGCTCGTCGTTCGACGAACTCGCAACCATGTCCGCGGCGCGGGCGACCGGCCCCGCAGCCACGGGCGGTGTCCAACAACCGAGCAAGCGTGGCCAGGCGCCGCGATTGCCAACCAGTTTTTGCTGGGAGCGGGCTGATATGTTTTCCAGTGCTTCGCATCATTGCCACAAATCGCTGAACTGAGCTGCGAGCGGATTGGCTGGGGCATCAGTGCGGCATCGCACAACAATGCTACGCGCAGTCGCCGTCGCAGCAGCCGCAGTAGCGCTCTTGGCACCGCTCCTCCTCGAGCCGGATGTCTCGAGCCACCGGCCTCCGGCCGACTTCGCCTGCGGCACGAGCACGCTCGCCCAGCGGTCCCTCGCGGCGGAGCGAGCCATCGAAGCCCTGGGCTGGCGCGCCGACGAGGGCCGCCTGCAGTTCGCGCAGCGCGGCGCCATCAGCTCGGGCCAGCACGCGACGAACTACGGCGCGCTGCAGCACTTCCGGCGCAACGTGCCCGCGTGGTTCGGGCGCCTGCCGCGCGTCGGCGCGCGTTTATTGCGGGGCCTCTTCGTCATGGGCCGCGGCGACGTCGTCTTCCTGCTGGGCTGCACGCCGCCGGGCGGCGGCGTGAGCTACGCGTCCGTCGCGCCCTACGTCTGGGTCCAGCCGTCGACGCGGTCCGCGCCGGGCGCGCAACTCGGGCCGTCGCTCAACCACCTCGAGCTCGAAAAACAGAACGAAATCAAACCCTGGAACGCGACGTTCCTCTACGTGGCGTCGCCGGACGCGGCGGCGGCGGCGCGCGTCGCCGCGGCGGTGACGGACGCCGCGGGCGCGCTCGGCTTCGAGATCCAGGTGCGAGCGACCGCCGCATTGCCGGCGGACGCGGTCGCGTGGCGCGCGCCCGGCGCGGCGCTCCGCGGCCTCCTCTCCGCGGACTGGCTCCGCGTGCTCTTCCGCGTGTCGACGGCGAGCGACGACGCGGGAGGCGACGCCTTGTCGACGTACCTGGCCGCGCACCAGCGCGCGTTCCTGGTCGCTTCGCCCGACGACGTCGCCGCGTCGTCGCCCTTCGACGCCGTCGCCGACGCGCAGCCGCCGACGCACCGGTCGCCGCCGCCGGGCTACCCGCTGCTGGAGACCGCCGTGGCCTCCGCCGCGGACGCCGTCGCGCGCTTCTTCGAGGCCCGCAACGCGACGGTGCTCGCGCGGTGGGCGGGGACGCGCTACGAGTACAGCAACCGGCGCTGCGCGACGGAGGCGGCGACCTACCGCCCCTACGCGGCCTTCGCGCCGCCGGACGTGCCCCTGCTGCCGAGCGCTTGCGCGATGACGAGCTCCGACAGCACGATCACGGCCATGGTCCCGCCCGGCGGCGTCGGCGACGGTTTGGACCCGGACGCGGGCCGCCGCCGGCGCGCCTGGGCGCCCTTCGTCGGCGCGCCGGGCCGCCTCTTCGTCGCCGTGGCCCTCGACGTCGTGCCCGTCGGCGCCGCGACGCTCCACAGCCTCATGTTCTCGCAGATCCCGCCCGGGAAGCCGTCGAAGGACTACTACGAGAACAAGGCCACGACGGTCTGGTGGCGCGCGCCGGGCCTGCCCCAGCCCCACGTCGGCGCGCCGGTGCAGAACACGGTGGCCATCGCCACGGTCGCGACGCACGGCTGCCCGGCGGGCCTCGAGGACGCGACGGGCCGGCCCTGGCCCTGCGCGGCGCCCGACGCGCCCGTCGACGGCGCCTACGCGGTCCTCACGGAGCGCGCCTACCTCGACCCGGCGACGGCGCTCGCGCCCGCGGCGACGAGCTTCCCGCCCTTCGTCATCCTCGCGGTCCAGCTCTAACACGTTTCTTCTCGGCGGAATTTAGGTCGCTCGCCGCGCGTCCGCGAGGAGCCACTCCTCGGCGTCGTCGCTGGAGCCGAAGACGCGGATGTTGCGGAAGCGCGCGACGCGGACGACGAGGCGGACGTAGTGGAGCGAGAAGCCGCTCGCGACGACAGCGACCTTGTCGAGCGCGGCGCCGTGCTCGTTCGCGAAGCGGAGGCACCGGCGGAGGCCGCCGCGCGAACACGACTTGGCGTGCGTCATGTCGACGAAGGTCGTCACGGACTGGTTCCGCGCGCCCGACCGCACGAAGGCCGCGCTCAGCTCGTCGATGGCGCGCGTCGCGACGTCGCGGCTCCCGACGCCCTCGAGGCGGATGACGAGCTGCGGCGCGCGCTCCGCGTGCGCGAAGCGGATCGCGCAGGCGCCGCGCCGGTCCGACCACTCGTCGTCGATGAAGCTCGGCCGCAGGGGCTTCGGCCGCAGGGCGGCGAGCCAGTCGGGCGGCTGCGTCGCGTCGAACCGGTCGCGCAGGGCGCCGAACGGCTGCCGGAGGCGCTCCATGGCGCCGGCGACGCCAAAGGCGAGGAGCAGCGGTGCGAACCGCATGGTCGCGGATGTGCTGGGATGTGCTGCGTGGCTAGGTCGACCGCGGACGCGCTGGACGCGCTGCCGAGCTCGCTCGACCGCGGACGCGTTGGCTGCGCTGGTTTGACGTCTAGATCGGCGGACAGCTCATCGACAGCTTCTTCAAAGCCTATCGTCAACACGATGTTAATGTCCGCGCTTCGGGCCGGTGTTTACCTCAACATCTCGAGGGCGTTGTCGATCGGCTGTGAAGGTGCGGCGCCTCGCGCCGGCCCGGGGCGCGGCGCAGCGCGACCGTCGCGCGTCGCGGCGCGGCGCGGACCGCGGTGCGACGCCGCCCCTCGCATCCGGGCAGCCCCAGACGCAAAAACACCATGGCGCCCCTCCAGCTCGCGCACGAGACGCTGCTGCGGCGGCACCAGCTGCGCGGCAGCGTGCTGCCCATCCTGACCATGGCCTACAACGCGTCGCGGCAGCACCTGCTGACGGCCGACGAGCAGGCGCTGCGGCTCTTCAGCACGCGCAAGGAGCTGAGCGTGCTCTGGCTCGACCCCGAGAGCCCGTCGCCGATGATCCTGCTGCACCACGCGATCCACGACGTCTACATCGTCGTCTACGACGACCAGCCCGCGGACCACCCGGACGCCTGCGCCGTGCAGATTTTGCACGCGTCCCTCGCGCCGCTCTTGCGCTGGCGGCCCCACGACGGCGCGGTCGCGGCCGCGGTGCTCCACCCGTCTTCGGGAGTCCTGGTGACGTCCGGCTCCGAGGGCCAGCTGCGGCTCTGGCAGCTGTCGGCGGCGCCGAGCTCGCCGGGCGGCGGGAGCCGCCGCGGCGAGGCGGAGCCGCCGAAGGACGACCTCGCGCTCATCGTGTCGCCCGTCGCGTCGCTCAACGAGCACCAGCCGCGCGGCGCGATCTCGACGCTGCACGTGTCGTCCGGCGACGGCGGCCTCCTGATCGGCGCCATCGACGGCACGGTCTGGGTCTGGCGCCTCTTCCCGTCGCCCTCGGACTCGACGGCGCTGACCGTCGCCTCGCGGCCGGGCTCGCCGGAGATTTCGCCGCCGCCGGGCGGCGTCGCGCCGCGGCTCGTGCTCTGCTGGGAGGCGACGCCGCCCGCGGACGACGGCGACGACGACGACGAGGCGCCGAGCATCACGTGCCTCCAGACGCTGGACGCGGGGCGCATCGCCGTGGGCTTCGACGACGGCGTCGTCGCGATCTGGGGCATCCAGCTCTTCGACGGTTTCGGGTCCGCGGCCGCGGGGTCCGCGCCCGAGCTGTGCTGCACGATCGACGCGCACGTGCTCGAGCCCGAGTCCGACGACGACGACTCGAGCAGCGACGAGGAGAGCAGCGACGAGGAGAGCGAGTTGGAGGAGGACGACGACGACGACGACAAGCAGAAGGACAAGGAGGACAGGTCGCAGTCGGCCGCGGGCTCCGGCGACGACGACGACGACGACGACGACGGCGTGAGCCTCCCGGACGAGTCGGGCGGCGTCTTCGAGATCCGCGCCGTGCGATCCTTGGGCGACGACGGCGGCCCCATGGAGCTCTTCACCTGCGGCGGGTCCGCGCGGCGCGTGCGCCACTGGCTCGTCGGCGGCGACGACGACGACGACGACGACGACGAGGCCGAGGCCGAGGAGCGGTCGCAGGCGTCCGGCGACGCGGGGTCGCGGGGGGACGTCGCGAGCGCCGGGAGCCGGAGCGACCGGCTCAAGGTCCGCGAGCTCAGCGCGCACGGCGTCGCCGAGGAGTTCGAGCCCGCCGAGGGCGACGCGTACACGTCGTGGGTCCAGGCCTGTGCCGAAACCAAATCTTCAACCCGACTTCAATGTGAGCGTATTCGAATGTTTTGACACAAGCTCTTCGGCTGGGCTTCGAGAACTCGACGAGAGCGATCGATCCGTCCAAAAATCAGCCGAATCGACTTTGATTTGACCGAGCTAGAGAATTCTCAAGTTTGGTCAGGACCACCCAAACCAGTGGTTGGTTTCGGCACAGGTCCAGGCGACGATCAAGGCCACGCCCATGCGCCTCGAGCTCCTCGAGCTCGGCATGGGCGCCGAGTCCATCGCGCGGCGGCTCCTCCTCGCCGCGACGTCCGGCGGCCTCGTGACGCTCTACGAGATCCTGGCCCCGGAGTGGCGCGTCGCGACGTGCGCGGACCGCCTGCTCCAGCTGCGGCGCGGCGCGCTCGTGGACTGGGAGGAGAAGGCCGGCGAGGCGGCGGCGCTCGGTGACCCGAGCGAGCACTGCGTGCTCGCCCTGACGGACGGGGGCCACGTCGAGGCGCTCGCGGTATCCGGCGCGGGCGTCTTCCACCGGAGCCCGCCCCCCGAACCCCCCTTGCCCGTCGCGACCGTCGCCGCGTCGACCCTCAAGTCGGGCGACCGGCGGCCGCCGGCGAAGCGCATCGCGCGGGGGCGCGCGCCGCTCGTGGGCCTCGGGCGCCACGCGACGGCGACGGAGCGCGTCGCGCTCGGGTGGATGCCCGCGTCCGCGTCGGTGGTCGTCGGCCGGTCCGACGGCGTCCTGGAGGTCGTCGCGCCCGACTGGAAGGCCGCGCTGCTGGAGCTGGGCTGCCGCGCGGCGGACGCGGCGCGCGCGAAGCGGCGCGCGGCGACGCCCGCGCTCGGCGGGTCCACGGTCGTCGCGCTCGGCCCGCCGCGGCGCGGCGTCGGCGCCGCGGACGGGCCCCCGGGCGCGGCCCCGGGCGGCGGCGGCGCGCCCGTGACGTGCCTCTGCGCGCTGCCGCGGCCCGAGACCCTCGTCTGCGTCGGCGACGCCGAGGGCGGCCTGAGGTTGTGGACGCTGCGGCCGCCGCACCGGGGGGGCGCCAAGTGCCTGTGGTCGACGGACGCGCACACGGGCGCCGTCGTCGCGCTCGCGGCCGGCGCGTTGTCGGCCGTCGCGGCGCACCCGGCGGAGAAGACGGCGCTGAAGCCGCTGGGGCGGCGCCTCGGCGCGCTGGTCGCGTCGGCGGCGGCCGACGGCGTCGTGAAGCTGTGGCGCCTCGTCCACGGCGGGCGGGGGCTGGTCACCGTGGGCTACTTCATCGTCGGCGGCGCCGTGACGGCGCTCGCCGTCGCGACGCCGCCGCCGGGCGACGTCGTGGACGAGCACCGCGGCGGCGCGGCCCTCGTCGTCGCGGGCTTCTCGAGCGGCTTGCTGGAGGCGTGGCCGCTCGACGCGCGCGACGCGGCCGGCGAGGCGGAGCCGAGCCGCGAGGTCGAGCGGTCCGTGCACCGCAGCGGCCACCTCCACGAGGTCACGGCGCTGGACGCCTTCCCGGGCCAGGGCGTGCTGCTGAGCGCGTCGCTCGACCGGTCCGTCGCGCTCTGGCGCGCGCGGCCCGCGGACGACGCGGGCCTCGAGCTGCTGAAGTGCGTCGCGCTGGGCCACCCGATCTACAGCGCCGTGCTCGTGCGCCGGCGCGGCGCCCTGGACGCCATCGTCGCCGACGGCGCGCACGTGTCGCGCGTGTCGCTCCGCGGCGACGCGGCCGCAGTCGAGGGCCCGTCGCTGCTCAACGAGCGGAGCCACCGCGTGTCGCGCGTGTCTTTGGCCCAGTCGTCGACGATCAGCGGCACGGCGGCGTCGACGCCCCAGCTCGCGGCCGACCCGCGGCCGCCGGCGGCCGGCGTCGCGGGCGTCGCGGGCTCCGCGGGCTCGGCCGCGTCCGTCGACGACCACTCCGCGTCGCTGTCCTTCGCGACCGTGTCCCTCCAGGCGCCGTCGGCGGCCCAGGCCTTCGCGTCCGCGGCGGCGCTGGGCGACCTCGTGTCGTCGGGCGCGCTGCCGCGCCAGTCGGAGATCGCGCGGAGCTCGTTCCTGGGCGGGAACCTGCGCGCGCGGACGCCGCAGCCGCCGCCGCCGCCGCGCGGTCGGACGCCGTCGGCGTCGTCCTGGCTCGCGTCGCCGGACCCCTACGCGTCCGGCGACCACAGCCGCGTCCAGTCGCCCTGGCGCACGGAGCGCGAGGTCGAGCGGTCGCGGCGCGAATCCGTCGTCACGCCCGGCTCCGCGCCGCCGCGCCGCGACTCGCTGAGCCAGGGCGTCTGGAATCTCGCCTTCGACCGCCAGCCGACGACGGCCGACGAGTCGTCGGCGACGGGCGGCTCGAGCCTCGCGACGGAGAAGCCCGGCCCGGGGCAGCACAAGAGAGCGACATTCCCAACTTCAAAGGCTCCTATCTCGGCCGTGTTCCACTCGCTTTGGCTGATTTTTGGACGAGCGATCATCTCTCGGCACGGTCTCGAAGCATTGATGCTTTTTCCGGAACGCGCGCGCGCGGAACACTCACGTTGAAGCGACGTTGAATCTCTCTTGTGCTGCCCAGGCCCGGCCCGGGCGAGTACCTCTTCGCGGAAGCGCCCGACACGATCCAGGACATCTCCGCGAAGCTCCTCGAGCAGACCGCGGCCTTCGCGCCGGCGCTGCCGGCGTCGCGCGAGCGCCGCGAGAACCTGCCGGCCATGGGCTCGCGGCCGGCGACGGCCGACGAGGACGTCGCGGCCGCGGCCGGAAGCAAGGCCGACGCGTCCGACGACGCGCAGCTGGCCGCGGAGGCCCTCATCACCCAGAGCGGGCCCGCGCCGCCCGCGCCGGAGCTCGAGGCGCTCCCCACGTCGACGCAGCTCGCGGCCTACCCGGACCTCGTCGTCGCGTTCAAGCAGCGCGACCTCGGCAAGGGCTTCCTGCCCGGCGCCGCGCTGCCCATGGTGCTCAAGAACTGGTGGAAGGGGCCCGACGGCCTCCCGATCACGGACGCGCACGTCCTCGAGGCGTGCCTGAAGACCACGATCTTCCGGGAGGCCGACGAGGAGGCCGCCGCGTCCATGGGCGACGAGGAGGACGACGACGACTTCGACGTCGTGTCCATCGACGAGCTCCGGAACCTGCGCGAGATCCGCCTCGAGCGGCGCAAGAACTACAAGCGCCGGGGCGCGAAGGTGACCTTCGACGAGCTCTGCCTCGTCGCGGAGAAGCTCTGCGGCGTCGTCGGCGCCGCGCCGCCGCGCGAGGGCGGCCTGAACGTGTCGCGGACGCTGAGCCGCGGCGGCGGCGGCTGGGTGCGGCGCGAGCCGAGCCGCGACGGCCCGGCCAAGGCCTACCGCCTCATGTCGCGGGAGCGGAAGCGCCTCGTCTACGGCGACGTCGGCGACAGGGCAGCAAAAGAGAGCGAAATTCCCAACTTCAAAGGCTCCTTTCTCGGCCGTTTTCCACTCGTTTCGGCTGATTTCTGGACGAGCGATCATCTCTCGGAACGGTCTCGAAGCGTGGATGCTTGTTCCGGAACGCGCGCGCGCGGAACACTCACGTTGAAGCGACGTTGAATCACCCTTTTGCTGCCCAGGTCGGCGAGCCCGCGCTCGTCCGGGTGGACCTCGCGGCGTCCGTCGCGCCGCTCGAGGGGCCCAACTGCGCGGAGGCGCGGCGCGCGCGCCTGCTGACGTCGCGGGACAACTACCGCATGGAGACGCCGCCGCCGATGGGCGACGCGCGGGCGCGGCTAGGCACGCCGCAGTCGCCGAACGGCCGGTCGTCGCGCGGGTCGCGCGACGACGCGTTCCCGGCCGCGCGGCGCATGCCGAGGCTCCCGCAGAACGTGCCCGAGCCCTTCGAGCACCTCTTCGTCGACCCCCTCATGCAGACGGCGCGCGACTGCCTCGCGACGGGCAACCCGAACCCGAGCGGCTCGGGCTTCGAGCAGGACGGCGACGCGCCCCAGCCGCCGGTCATGAACGGCCGCACGGCCGTGCGCGAGGCAAGACGAGTCTTCGAGGGCTACGCCGAGGAGCTCGCGTCGGCCGCGGCGACGAAGCGGCCCCCGCGGGGCCTGGCCGAGGCGACGTACCTGCTCTTCCGCCAGCGCTTCGGCCCGCGGCAGATCGCGGAGGCCCACATCGTCGCGCTGCTCGACGCTTTGTTCGCCCACGGCACGGAGGCGCCGGTCCTGGGCGCGTTGAGCCGCTTCATCGACGTCAAGCCCGCGCTCGTGGAGATGTTCGAGGACGGGCGCGCGTCGCTCGGCGACAACGACAGCCACCAGAGCGCGCCCCGGGCCGACTGGCGGGCCCTGCCCATCAACTCGGCGCGGACCTACGTCGACACGCTCGCCTGGCTCCGGGACCGGGGGTGCCTCTTCCGCGACGCGCCCATGGACGCGGGCGGCGGCCGGGGCCTCCGGTCGACGGTCGGCGCCGAGGGGTCGCTCTTCGGCGGCGGCGCCCACTTCCGCACGACGGCGACGGGCCGCGCCACCGTGAGCGGCGACGCGCTGCGGCACCTCTCCGTGTCGCGGCGCGCCGCGGCGTCGTGCGTGCGCCAGCTCGCGCCGTCGCCGAGCGTCGCGAGCACGGTCGTCGAGGCGCTGGCGAACGTGCCGGGCCTCGACGAGTCGCCCCTGGGCCACTGGGACGAGCACGTCGACGCCGAGGCCTTCGCGGAACTGCTGACGACGCGCGTCGTCGCCGCGGACGAGGTCACGCGCGCCGCGCAGGCGAAGCTCTTCGCTTTGGAGCGGCCCGACCGCGTGCTCTCGACCGCGGGCAGCGGCAAGGGCAAGCCGTCGAAGCGGGGCAGCCGCGGCGACAAGGACGCGGCCTGGCCCGAGAGCCTGAAGGAGCTGAAGCGGCTGCTGCTCCGCTTCGTGGCCGCGGACCCCGCGCGGTCGGGCGCGATCCAGGGCAGGACAGGAGAGCGACATTCCCAACTTCAAAGCCTCATATCTCGGCCGTTTTCCACTCGTTTCGGGTGATCTTTGGACGAGCGATCATCTCTTGGAACGGTCTCGAAGCGTGGATGCTTTTTCCGGAACGCGGGCGCGCGGAACACTCACGTTGAAGCGACGTTGAATCACCCTCGTGCTGCCCAGGCGCGATCTCCGGCGCGGCGTTCTGCCGCGCGATGCGCGTGGGCCTCAAGGCCAAGGGCGGCGACGACGGCGGCTGGGGGCCCTGGACGCCGCCGTCGGAGCTGCCCCGGGACGAGTCCCTCCTGGCGGAGAACGAGCGGGGGCTCCAGCATCTCCTCGTGTTCTACCGCGACATGTACGACCAGCAGGTGGCCTACATCGACTTCTGGGCCATGCTCTGGACCGAGGCGACGCTCCACCGGCGGCTGCCCCTCTTAGAGGAGCTCTACGCCATCGCCATCGACCAGCTCATCGGCATCGACGACGAGGTGGGCGCCGCGCTCCGCGCGTTCGTCATGCACGTCGACCGGAAGGAGCTGCCCAAGGTCGAGGAGAAGGACAAGCGCGAGGACGCGCCGGGGCCCGGGCGGCCCGTGCTCGAGCCCGTGGAGGTCAAGCCGAGCTTGTTGGCCCTCGCCTTCCCGGGCCAGCTCGACATGGGCGACCTCGACCGCGTGCCGGACCTGCACCCGGGCACGCTCACGATCGCGCGGCCGCCGGACGCGGCGCGCGACCGCGAGCGCGACGTCTTCGGGGACACGGAGGGCGCGAGCCGCGCGGCGACGGCCCACGACGAGCGCGAGGACCGGCCGGACCGGTCCATCAGCGAGGAGCGGCGCGCGTCGCTCCGCGAGAAGTCGACGTCGACGCGCGCGTCCGGCGTCGCGCTCGTCCAGGACGACGTGTCGAGCCACGTCGACGTCGCCCCGGAGCCGCCGGAGGCCTTCCGGCCCGCGGCGTCCTTCTCGCGGTCGCTCCAGTCGTCCGCGTCCCGCGACGACTTTAGGGACGAGTCCGTCGACGTCCACTCGACGATCCAGACGCTGCCCCGCAGCTTCACGGCCGCGGGCGCCCAGGCCGCGGCGCAGCTCATGCTCGACGGCCTCGCGCGGCACCACGCCGCCGAGGCCCTCACGCACGCGCGCGCCGCGGCGTCGCACGCGACGCTGGCGCTCACGTACGCGGACGCGGCGCTCCCAGCCAAAAAGGGCGGCACGATCCTCACGCGCCTCGCGGCGTCGGGCCCCGGCAAGCCGCCGCGGCCGCCCCAGGTGCGGGGCACCTTCGCCTACCAGGGCGACCCCTTCTTCGCGCCCCAGGTCACGAAGCAGACGCGCGCGACCAAGGCCGACGCGCGCGCCGCGGCCGCGCGCGCGCTCGCGCGCGGCGCGAGCCCGCTCCTCAAGACGTCGCTCGACGTGCTCCGCGTCCAGTCCATGACGGGCCAGTACGACTCCTTCGGCCGCGCGTTCAGCCCCGTGCGCTACCTGAGCCTCGACGAGGCCGAGCAGCTCCAGCGCGACATCGACGCGGCGCAGGACGAGGCCGACGCGAAGCGCCTCGCGAAGACCCACTCCAAGGCCGTCGCGCCCAAGGAGAAGCCGAAGAAGGTCGACAAGGCCGCGGAGCAGCGGCGCCTCCTCGAGGAGGAAGCCAAGCGGCGCCAGGAGGAGGCCATGCGGCGCCACGAGGAGGAGCTGGAACGGCGGCGCCAGGAAGAAGAGGCCCAGGCCAAGGCCGCGGAGGAAGCCAAGAAGCGCGCCGAGGAGAAGGCGGCCATGGACGAGGCCGCGGCGAAGAAGAAGGCCGAGGAGGAGGAGGCCGCGCGGCTCAAGGCCGAGCAGGAGCGGCGGCTCAAGGACCTCGAGGCCGCGAAGCAGGCCGAGGCGCGCGAGAAGGCCGAGGCGAAGCGGCGCCAGGCCGAGGAGGAGCGCGCCGCCGCCGACGCGGAGAAGAAGCGCCTCAAGGAGGTCGCGGCCGCGGAGAAGGAGGCCCGGAAGCAGGCGGAGCGCGAGGCGCGGAAGCGCCAGGAGGGCGAGCGCCAGGCCATGTACCAGGAGGAGCGGCTGGGCCACATGATGCGCGAGCAGCTCCGCGAGGAGCGCGCGGCGGCCGAGCGGAAGCGGCTCCAGGACATCAAGGACGCGGAGATCGCGCGCGAGGCCGAGGAGAACCGGTTGATGGAGGAGGCGGAGGAGGAGGGCGAGTTCCTGCGGGAGGAGGAGCGCGAGAAGGCCCGCGCGGCCCAGGAGGCGCTGGAGCGCGAGAAGCAGGAGCGCGAGCGCGAGGAGTTCGAGCGCGCGGAGCGCGAACGGGAATACGAGGAGTGCTACCAGATGCAGGCCGAGGAGGAGTACGAGCGCCAGCGCCTCGCCGTCGAGGCCGAGGAGGAGCGCAAGCGCAAGGCCAAGGAGGAGGCGCTGCGCGAGCGCCTCGACGCCGAGGGCCGCATGAAGGAGGAGAACGAGCGGTCCACGATGATCACGAACACGCTCAAGGTGCGGCCGACGAACGCGGGCCTGTTCCGCGTCGCCAAGCAGAAGCGCGCGTCGATCGCCTTCAAGGACAAGTTGTTGGGCAAGGTCGCCCAGCGGCGCGCGACCGTCGCCGCGGCGAAGCAGGCCGAGGAGGAGGCCGCGAAGCTCGAGGCCGAGGCCGCGGCGACCGCGAGGAAGATGGGCGACCTTAGTTCGATGATGAGCGCGACGTCGTCCGGTGCGGCGTCCCAGGAGCCGGCGCAGGCCGACGACGACGACGACGGCGACCGCCCCCTCTTCGGCTGCTCCATGGCCTTCTCCGCGGATTTGCGCTACGACCCCTTCGCGGAGGACCTGCGGTCCACGAAGCAGCCCGCGGCGCCCGTCGGGTCCGCCGTCGCGGCCATGCGCGCGAAGCAGGACGACGCGGGCGCCGGGGGCTTCGACGAGACGTCCCTCGAGGACGACCGGCTGCCCGAGGCCGTGCTCCGGTGCTTCCGCGAGGCCGCGGGCGGCGGGCCCCAGGCGTTCTACGACGCCGTGAGCGACTGTACACGCCCGAG